TCCACCCCAGGAGTCCATCCCAGCCTCCCCCACCCTTGGGCTCCTCCCAGCCAGAGGTCCTGGCCAGGCACATAGATCCTCAGGACTCGGCTCTTGCTGGTCTTCAGACAAAATGAAGCCAGCCTGGGGGTGCGGCCTGGGTGGCGGGAGCTGCCAGGGGCTCAAGTTCCCTGAGCCCCTTCCTTGGGCACAAATGAATGGTTGTGTTTGGGTTTGTTTTTTGTTATATCTTTATCCCATTTGAATTCCAAAAATAAATTGTTATATGGAATATTATTCAACTGTTAAAATAATTTTTAAAGTTTGTACATCAATGCACAGTAGCCAACAGATGGCAGCAGCCCCAATGTCCGTGGAGGGATGAAGGGACTGTCAAATTGGGTCCCTCCACACAGCCCAGTATGATGGAGCCTGAAAAGGGAGCTCAGTCTGGCACCTGCTCTGACATGGCAGGACCTTGAGGACTGACGCTCAGTGCAATAAGCCAGACACAGAAGGACAAACACTATGTGATTCCACTGATTTGAGGTTCCTGGAGGAGTCAGGTTCAACAGAGACAGAGAGTAAGGGGACGGGAGAGGGGAGAGGGGAGAATGAGTGTTTAATAGGGACAGAGGGCCAGTTTGGGAAGATGACCATGCCTGGGCTAGGAGGCCAGCCCCTGAGCCACAGGGCACCTGGACTGGATGCGGTGGTGGGATACGCATGGATGGCCTGCAGTTCGGAAAGGGATTGGTGTACAGAAGGGAACACAGGCGAGGGAGAGGGGGCAGGTGGAGACGTCCCTGAGTCAGTCAGGGTTCTCCAGAGGAACAGAACCTGTAGGATGTGTGTATAGAGATTTATGTTAAAGGAACTGGCTCATGCGATTGTGGCAAGCCAGCAGCTGGAGACCCAGGAAAGAGCTAATGTTGCAGCTTAAGTCCGAAGGCTGTCAGGAGGCAGAAGTCCCTCTTCCTCAGGGGACCTCAGTCTCTTCTCCTAAATCTCACATGATTGGATGAGGCCCACCACATCACGGAGGGCATTTGCTTTACACAACGTCTGCTGATTTACATGCTAAACTCATCATTTAAAAAAAGGGGAGGAGGGAGGGAAGAAAACCTTCACATCTAGACTGGCATTTGACCAAATATCTGGATACTGTGACTGGCCAAGTTGACTCATAAAATTAACCACACCATCTACAAGCCAAGATAAGCGTGGATAGCCAAGAATGAAACCCAGGCTTCCATATATCCCCAAACCCTCAGGCTCATGGGGCAGCTGGCCTCCCCACAGCCAGAGCAGGGCCGAGAGGTCCAGCTGGGCGGTCAGTTGCAGGACCACAGACTGAAGGATGTGACATCTTGGTTTCTTCCAAGTTTTGGCAATTATGAACACGCTGCTATAAACATCCGTGGGCAGGTTTCCATGTAAACACTAGCCTTCAACTTCTTTAGGTAAATGCCAAGGAGCCCAATGCTGGATCACAGGGTAGAATCTGTTTCGTTTTGTAAGAAACCACCAAACGGTCCCCCAAGTGGTGGCACCGCTGTGCATTTCCGCCAGCGTGAGCGAGAGCCCTGCTGCTCCCGGCATTTGATGCTGTCAGTGTTCCGGCAAAATGTTGGCCATTCTGATAGATGGGCAATGGCATCTCACTGCTGTTTTATTTTGCATTTCCCTGGTGTGGCACCCTTCTATATACTTACTTGCCATAATATGCAAGCAAGATTTAAAACAAAATGCTATGAAAACAAGCAACCCAGCTGAAAAAAAAAAAAGACCTGGATCCCTCACCAAAGAAGATACACAGATGGTCAAGCCACTGTGGAAGACCGTCTGGCAATTTCGTACAAAGTGAAACTATCCGATGCGAGTCTTGCAAGTATTTTCCTCCCGTCTGTGGCTTGTCTTTTCATTCTCTTAACGTGTTGTGTGTGTCAGCTTTTCTCATCGAATTGCCCTTCCATGGGTCGTGCTTTAGGCGTTGTGTCAGTGTACTTTGCGAACTTTACTTCTTCTTTTTTTAAATATATTTTATTGATTTCTTACAGAGAGGAAGGGAGAGGGATAGAGAGCTAGAAATATCGATGAGAGAGAAACACCGACCAGCTGCCTCTTGCACACCCCCTACCGGGGATGTGCCCGCAACCAATCTACATGCCCTTGACTGGAATCGAACCTGGGACCCTTCAGTCCGCAGACCGACGCTCTATCCACTGAGCCAAACCGGTTTTGGCTGAACTTTACTTCTTAAAGTGTACCAATTCCTTGGCTCTTTAATGGTTCTCTTCCCAGGAGCAGCGCCCACAGTGTCAGCCCCACGCTCTCCCCAGGGACACACGACACACGACACATGCTGGCCTATTCTTAGTGTTTGACAGGATTCGCTAGAAAAGCCAGACACCTGGAGTGTGCCTTGTGTGCAGACTTTAAATTACGGATTCCATTTCTTTACCAAGATCCTCCAGATTTTCCCTTTCATCTTGTGTCAGTTCCGATGTAATGTTTTTCCAAAACTTGTCCATTTTATCTAAATTTTCAACTTTAATAGCATAAAGTTGCTCCTCAAGTCCCCTCAAAATCTTTGAATGTCTGTAGGGTCCCGTATGTCCTTTCTCATTCCTGGCATTGGTTATTTGTGGGCATTCTGAGAGAGAGAGAGAGAGAGAGAGAGAGAGAGAGAGAGAGAGAGAGATCAGTTGCCTTCTGTACCATCCCTGATGGGGATCAAACTTGAAACCCAGGTATGTGCCCTAACTGGGGATTGAACCAGCAATCTTTCGGTGCATGGGAAGATGGTCAACCAACTAAGCCACTTTGGCTGGACAATTCTCATCCTTTCTTCATGACCAGCCTCTCAGGAGTTTGTTGATTTTATTAGCTCTTTTCAAAACCCAACCTTTGGCTTTCTTTCCTCTCTTGTGGGATTTTCATTGCTCTTTGTCATTTCTTCCTTCTGTGTTGTCTGGACCAAATACTCTGACCTTTTTCTCGAGAGAGCAGGACTGTCACCTTCCTTCTGCTCTAACATGTGCATTTCCCTCTAATTCTGGTTTCAGCATCATCCCACAAGTTTTATGCAGTGTTTGCATAATTAATTTCAAAAATCTCTTCTAATCTTCACCATGGCTTCCTTGAACTGTGAGTTATTTAGAATACTGTTTCTAAATTCTTGAACATATGAAGATGTTTAATTGCCCTTTGTTTAATTTCTGGCTCAATTTCACTGTGGTTTTCCAAGTCTTTGAAGTCTGTGGGGATTTGATTTTGTATCTTGGTGCGTTTGGAAAGAGGGCACCTCCTGCAGGTGCTTTGTGCCCCGTCTGCAGGTGTCAGTATGGTTTAGCTTGTTAGGCAAGTTGGCCACACCTGCCGTGAACCTACTGCTCTTATTGTCTGCTAGCTCCGTCGGTTACTGAGAGACTCGTGTCTAAAACTTGCTATTGTAATTGTGGGCCTATTTCCCCCCAACAGATCTGTCCATTTTTGTTTCGCTTTTCGAGGCATAATATTGGCTTCATACAAACTTAATACCGCTATAATTTTCTGTTGAGTCAAACGTTTGTAATTCTGAAACGTGTCCCTTTGTATGTTTGCCTGATAGAAACACAGCGCCACCAGTGTTCATCTGCATGTTTCCTGGGCTATTTTTTTCTTTTAGCCTCCAACCTTTCTCTTCACATCTTCTGCCTGCTGTCAGGGGGATATCTCTGGGTTTGGGGTGGGTTTACCGTTGTTTTGCTTTCTGCCACGCACATTTTGTCTGTTAATAGGAATGTTGGTCAGTTTACATTAATGTAATTCTGATATGTTTGCTCCTATGGGGACTGGCTGCCCTGAGTTCCCTAGGCAACTGTGGGCCCTGGGAGGCTCCAAAGCTTCCTAGATGCCCCACCTTTTGGGCAGGTTACCCAGCAGAGGCCTTGCTTGTAAAGAAATATGTCCAGGCTGGTGGGGGTAGCGGGAGGGCACAAAAGGTAGATGCCTGGAGTGTGACAGGAAAGCTATTGTAAAACACAGTCAAATCTTTTTAAAAGAAGAAAAAGTCAGAAACACCAAAAGGAACATCATGGTTATGGCTTGGGGTGGGGGTTGGGAGTGGGAGGTCATATGGGATATTTTTTTAAAAATGTTTTTTTTAATTGATTTGAGAGAGAGACAGAGAGAGAGAAAGAGAGAGAGAGAGAGAGAGAGAGAGAGAGAGAGAGAGAGAGAGATTTGTTATTCCACTTATTTATGCATTCATTGGTTAATTCTTGTACATGCCATAATCAGGGATCAAGCCCACACCTATGGCATATGGAGACAATAGTCTGGCCAACTGAGCTACCCAGCCAGGGCACATTTTTATTTTGTCTTTATAGTTTCCTACATCTCTAAAATTTTGTACAATTAACATATTTTGTTGTTGTTATTATTAATCCTCACCCAAGGATATTTTTCCACTTATTTTTAGAGAGCGTGGAAGGTAGGGGGAGAGATAGAGAGAAACATCGATGTGAGAGAGAGACGTATGGATTGGTTGCCTCCCACATATGCCCCAGGGGTGGGGATCGAGCCTGCAACGGAGGTACGTGCCCTTAACCGGAATTGAATCTGGGACCCTTCAGTCCGCAGGCCGACACTCTATCCACTGAGCAAACAGGCTAGGGCAAGCATATCTTATTTTTTAACCAAAAATGAAGAAGAAATAAAAAGGAGCTTCCATGAAGAAACAGGGGGCAGGTCCTGGGAGGTGACCCTGCTCGCTGCACTCCAATGGGAAATGCAGTCACGCAGGGCAGCCCATGTGCAGACCAGACACCTCTGGGGGCTGCCATACTGAGACCTGCTTTTCCTGCCCTCATCCTGCCCCACGGCTGACGCCCCGGGGCTCGGAGAGTTTGGCCAGTGGGGTGGGGATAGGGAGCCAACGATGCAGCAAGATTGGGCTGGTGGTCAGAGGCGTGAGCTAGAGAACTGGGTGCCCTCCCTAGGGCTTTGGCAGGGAAAGAACTCAAGAGAAACGTCTCTGGACATAAATGCACACCTTTATTTCCAGTCCGGAAACCAGAAAGCAGAGTGAGATTAAAGAGCCAGGCACCAGGACAGTGCAGCACCTTGTTCTAGTCTAAGGGTCCCCAGTCACCCTTACCCACAGCCCTACAAGGCTGAGAGCCCACCTCCTCTGGCTTCCAGCTGTGAGCTCCCTTCTCAAGGCCCAGGCCTGCTTAACATATTAAAACGGAACTTCTGTGTCATTGCACAGGGTCCTTCATGAAGGCCTACCCTCCCGGCGCTCCATAAAGAAGCCGAAGGTCTCCATCCAGAGCTCCATCCAGGCCCTTGCCCTCCCCACTCCTCCTGGGCGCACCGGGCCAGGCGGGGTCAGAGGGCCCTTCAGGAGGGCCAGCACTGCTCCCGGGGCTTGCCCCCCAGGCCAGGGGGCCCGGGCCCCGGAAGCACATTCTCTAGGACCTCACGCAGGGAGAACATGCAGAAGGAGATCTCCTCGTAGGACACCCTGACTCCGCTCTCATAAAGACAGGCGAAGGTCAGAGCGCCCTCAGGCGTGGGCCCGATGGACGCCAGGTCAGAGTAGCCGCTGGGGCCCTGGTAGATCACCCACGGCTCCGACCAGCTGTGGGGGTCCAGGGGGGACCTGCTCAGGTGGACACCCATATGGAGCCGTGCCCTGCGCCCCGCTGGGTGGGAATACAGCAGCCATGTGGGGCTCTGAGGCAGGGCAACAGGGAGCCTAGGGAGCTGCAGGGACCAGGCCCTCCTGTCCCCACCGGTCTCAGGCCCTGGGCTGGGGTCCCCTGATCCCTCTGTTCCGCCCCCACATCTCTCTGTCCCACCCAGCCCCCCACCCCTTAGGGTGTCTCCAGCCCCCTCCTCCGGGGATTCCTGGGCTCGAGGACAGAGATTTGGAGGAAAGGGAGTCTTCCTGGTGCCCACTGATGATCCCTCATCGCCAGGCCTATTAGAGGGTGGGGCTGGGAAGCCCAGGATGCTGCCCTGGCAACCCCGGGCAGTCTCGGCCAGGGTGGGCACCAGCTCTCCCGGCAGGAAGGAGGTGCCCTCGTCTGTGCTGAGGGCCTGCACACGACTGCCCAGGGGGCTCCGGGCATTGCAGTAGAGGACACTGCCCGCCTGCCCTCCGTCCACCACAGCCAGCTGGCACTCGCCCGAGCGCAGGTTGGGCAGGAGGCCGCCGTGGTGCCAGGTCTGGCCATGGTCGTCGCTGTAGAAGGTGAAGGCGTGGGGGCTGGTCCTACAGATCTTGCCGAAGCACTCCCGCCGGTCCACATGGTAGGTGTAGGCTGGCACCAGCAGGCGGCCCGAGCCCAGCTGGATGCCGTGGCCTGGGCCCACGGCAAATGTAGCCCAGTCTGCAGACGGGAGGGGCTGCTGGTTACCTCAGGAGCAGCAGCCACAGTGCCAGGTGGTGGGGAGGATGGGGGGCAGTGCCGGACTAAGGAGCAGTTTGTGAGGGAGCCACCCATTGACCGTGCCTCCGCCCTCCACCCCTTCAAGCCACCCTGATCCTCCGGGCTGGACAAGCCTCCCGAGAACACGAGCACGCGTGGGAGCCCAGGCAGGCCACTGGGCCAGGTTCCCAGCATGTGAGCCGGCGGCCAGTGCGAGCACTGTCCCCGCAGGGGCAGCTGAGGGATGGGGGGGGGCAGGCGTGAAGCTTCAGGACTGGGGAGCCCTCCAGCCTGGGCCAGGCCCCGGGGTGGGGCCCACACCAGCAGGCAGCCCTTTGACTAGTTCCAGCTCTCAGAGCCGCCCCCTGACAGGGTTGGGGTGGCCCCTGAGGCAGTGGTAAGGTCAACCTGCCTGCAACCACCCGCTGCTGAGGAGGAGGAGGAGGAGGAAGTGGTTAAGGAGGGAGGCCTTGGGGTTTGGGGGCTCAGATCAAGACACAGTTTCTGCCGAAACCGGTTTGGCTCAGTGGCTAGAGTGTCAGCCTGTGGACTGGAAGGTCCCAGGTTCAATTGCGGTCAAGGGCATGTACCTTGGGTGCGGGCACATCCCCGGCAGGGGATGAGCAGGAGGCAGCTGGTCAATGTTTCTCTCTCATTGACGTTTCTAGCTCTCTATCCCTCTCCCTTCCTCTCTGGGGAAAAATCTATAAAATATATTAAATAAATAAATAAATAAATAAATAATAAGACACAGCTCTTTCTGGCGTGACCAACACCCATTTGTGGACTCGGGTGGAGGATGGCAGAGCCTCCATGGTCCCTAGGCTGGGGGCGGGGCCGGGCAGCAGCGGGAAGAACAACCCCCCCCCCCCCCCCCCCGCCCAGGTGCAGGCCCCCAGGTGAGCCCCGGCCGCGCCTACCCCGCTCCGCGTCGCCCACCGCCTCCGCCGTGAGGTCCCGCGCGCGGCCCCAGGTGCGGCCGGCGTCCCGGCTGGCCACGCAGCAGAGGCGCGCGGCGTTCCTGCCCGTGGCGATCTGCGCGCCCTCGGGGGTCTGGCCGCGGACGGCCACGAAGAAGAGAAAGACGGTGCCGGTGCGCGCGTCGTGCACGGGGCAGGGGTTCATGGACCGGTGCTCCTCCAGGGCCGCCGTGTCCAGCACTTGGGCGGCGCCCCACTGCCGGGAGGGAGGAGGGGGGAGGGAGGGGCAGCCTCAGTGTCCTGTCCTTCCGCACCGGGCACCCCCTCCCGCCCCCCGTAAGGACACCCCCCCCCCCGCTCCGGCCCCCGCAAGGCCACTCACCTGCACGGAGCCCCCCGCCAGCGCGCCGCGCCTCTGCACCAGGCGGTGGGCGTGCGCGTCGCTGGGGCTGCGCCGCTGCTCCGCGAAGGCCAGCAGGCTGGGCCCGGGCGGCACGGGCAGCAGCGCGGGCACGCGGTAGGTCAGGCCGCTCCTCTCGCTCCGGAAGAGCACGGTCCGCGTGGGGACTCGGGGGGTCCCCATGCCCTGCGAGCCCAGGGCCAGCGGCTCAGCGGCCAAGGTCCAGGCACACCCCCCTCTCTGTCCGATGGCGGCGAGGGGCTTTGTAGGTGCAGACGCCTCCCTGCACCCACCTCCAACCGCTCTGGCCCGGGCTCCCGCCACCTCTTCGCCACCTCGTCTTCACGGCCACTGCACCCCCAAATTGGCCCCTTCCTGCTGTCAACATAGCCCACAGAGGGAAAGCAGGGAGCCTGGCCAGAGCCCCATCACCCTCCACACCCGTGTGCCTGGTCAGCACCACCCGCCCAGGAGGCCAGCCAAGTGCACCATCGGGACCCAACGTTTTGGACAAGGAGGGGTTTAGTGTCCCCAACTAGGGGCCCCCAACCTCGGGAGCATGCCCACAAACACAGAGAGGCCCAGAAAATGACACACCAGTCAGAAAAACAAACAAACAAACAACAACAAAAAACAGGGGGAGACTTAACACAGGAAGCAGAGACACATGCAGATTCACACACATCCGCTCGGACACCCGCACAGATACACGCGTGGGAGACAGACACCCACAGGCACATTCCACACACCGGAGGGAGGAGGGCACCCTAGCTGCTGCCACCGCTCTTCTCAGACCTGCAGGGTCACCAGGGGCAGGAGGTGGTGGGGAGTAGCCAGGAGAGGTGGGCATCACCTGCTGACCAAGGTGGCCCCCACAGGTCTGCAGAGAAGGGGCCTGAACTCCAGGCCTCAGAGGGACATCTGTGGGGTCAGGTGATCCCCCACCCTGCCCCTTGGGCTCCTGAGAGTGGCTGGGGGTCCTGGGAGGTCCAACAGAGCCACCGCTACCCACAGGGGCCCCCGATAACTCCCACACGTGCCTCAGAGACCTAGGAATGGTGTAGGCCAGAGGAGCAGTGAGAGGGACCCCAAGGAGGCCAGAGAGACCACCATCCTACAGTCCTGCCCCTGTCCCTCCCAGCAGAGAGGAGCTCCGGGAGATGGGAGGTTGGCAGGGGCAGGGGCGGGGAGGCGGGGCGGAGTAAGGGGGGGACTCTAGTCTGTGCACTGAGGCCCAGTGTATTGAACGTGAAAGCAGGAAGCAGGTGTGGGTGTCACATGTCCCTCCGGGCTGAATGGATACAGCAGGACATTCTCTCCACTTGGCTCCGTCCCCAGGGCCTGGGACCACCGAGCTGGCATCAGCACAGCAGGCAGCCAGGCCCACGCCTGGCCTGGGGATGGAGCGGCCTAGCGGGAGGCTCCCCAGACCGGCTGGTGTGTCTGCTTGCTGCCCAGAGCGGGACAGGGCTGCCCAGCACCGGGAGCATCCTTGCCCGGACCAGAGCCCCACGTCCTGGGAGGCCCCCATTGAGGAGGGAGTGCCAGGCCTCCTCCCAGGCAGCTGTCCCTTCCCAGCGCGGCCAGTTCAGCAGGTTCTGGGGCTTTGACTTGACTAGATGGCTACATCTGCACATCAGCTGGAGCCAGACCTTAAGTCTGGGTGCCCGTCCACCCGCACGGGGAGGCCTTTCTTGGGGGCAGCACATCTCAGAAGGGAAGCTGAGGCCCAGGGAGGCCATGGGACCCCCCAAGAGAACCTGGTCCTCTGACCTTGGATCCCGGGCAAGTTGCTGGGGCTTATTCTGCCTCGAAGAGGCTCACCCTGGACCTGCCTGCAGCCTGTCCAGCCTGGGCTCCGCCCTGGAGCATGGGCCAGCACAGGTCATCCTACCCACACCGCCCTTCTGAGTCAGCACCTCTATTATCCTTTGCACCTGTCACTGCTGGGCCGCGCACCTGCTGAAGCGCCGCCCAGGAAGAGCCACGGCTCTTGGCATAGAAATCAGGCAGAGGGGCCCTGGCTCTGTCCCCCACCCCCGCGGGGGCTCCAGTCCAACCTGCCTGCCCCGTGCTCTGCCGGACAATGGCTCTGTTCCACACCCTCTGCCTGGTGGAGCGACACCCACAGGCCCACCTGGTCCTGCGGACTGGGCCCCCGGTCTGCATCCATCCCATCCCCGGGATCTATCCAGGCCCTTCGGAGTCCCACCCGCCCCTGGAGCCAGGAGACTGTCCCACTGGGGATCAGCCCAAAGAGAGGCAGCCAGGAGGACAGAAGGAGCAGGGTCCCGGCCCTGGGAGGCTGGGAAGCAGGGAAGGGACTCACCGGGCACCGCAGGAAGCTGCACAGCGGGCTGTGGTGGGGGCACAGGACTGCCTGCCTGCCTGCCTGCCTTCGGACCCAGCGAGCTGAGTGGAGACAAGGGCCCACTGTGTGGGCGGGAGGCGGGAGCTGGCCTGGTCCCAGGGCTGCGTCAAGACCCAGGACTGCCGAAACCGGTTTGGCTCAGTGGATAGAGCGTCAGCCTGCAGACTGAAAGTTCTCAGGTTCGAATCCGGTCAAGGGCATGTACCTTGGTTGCGGGCACATCCCGGGGGGAGGGGGGGTTTGCAAGAGGCAGCTGGTCGATGACTCTCTCTCATCGATATTTCTAACTCTCTATCCCTCTCCCTTCCTCCCTGTAAAAAAAATCAATAAAATATATATTTTTTTAAAAAAGACCCAGGACTCTCGCCAGCAGTATGGCTGTAGTTCAGCAGAGCAATTAAGGGATACACAAGGGCATTCGGGGTGGGTGCCAGGGTCAGGATGGGTCCACACAGGGCTCCTCTCTTCTGGCTGACCCCCTCCACCCTGGGGTGCTGGGGACTTGGGGTTGGGGGGTCACTGTTGCCCTCGGTCTCCTGCAGAGGTGCCTCAAACTGCATAACACTCCATGGCCCTTCCCTTGGCCTCCAGGATGGAACCGCTTGGGCCCTCACTGGGCTCCAGCCCCATGTCTATTGCTTGGGGCCTGGCTTCCACCAGGCGGGCCAGCATCCCACCCCTCCTCCCACCGCCTCCCCAGCACCAACTGCCTCCCAGGGCTCCCTCCTGCCAGCTGGCCCATTCACCCTCACCACTCCCCCACTGCTGTCCCCATGGTGGCTTTGTGGATGGCCATTGCGTGGGCGATCACTGCCCAGGTGACTGCTGCCCAGGTGACACAGCCTGGGCCAGGACCGTGGGGAGAGTGCGGTCAGGGCCCTGAGGGGCTGGCCTCCTCAGGGACATCCTGGGCCCCGCCCCTCCTTTTCCTGCCCCTCCCTCCAATGTGAAGGATCATTCCAGGGAGAAATGGGCTCTGGGAAAATGAAGACATCCTATGATGTCCACATGGAGCTGACAGCCCTGCTGTGTCCCCTCAGGTCCTCAGAGGGGGTTTACAAGGCCACCAGGTGGAGAGGAGCGGTGAGCCAGGAGAGGGCTGCTGACGCTTCCTGACGGCCCCCGGCCCCTCTCCTCCAGCACAGGCCCGGCCCCAGGAAGACTGCCGCCCATTCTGAGGCTTCTGGGATGAGTGCCTGTCACCTCTGCCTGCTTCCAGGGCCATCCCCACTCCCCCTAAGACAAGCACATGCCCCTGCAGCAGGCAGCCCCTGACACCAAAAAAGGTGGAGGCAGCGTTTGCTCGGAGCTCTCACTAGCTGCACAGGATGCCAGCATATTCGGCCTTTTGGGTTGAATATGCAGATGCTATGGAATGTTTATAGTGACTCAGAGGTCAAGGTTCTGTGCCGCTGAGGATGGAACGTGGCAGAGGTGGAGGTTCCTCTCCCCACCCCATCACAACACAACCTACAGCCTGCTCGGGGTTCAGAAGCAGCAGCTTTCCTCCGTATCCTGGGTCCGCACGGCCCAGGCTCGCCCAGGTGTGGGTCTTGCCTTCTTTGGGAGCCTGCCTGATGCTCAGGGCACTGGATTCTTTCTCAGTCCTTCTCATTTGACTATAGTTTCTTATCCGTGGCTCTTACTATCCTTCTGAGCCGCCTATCATCCCCTAGCTGTTCATCCGGCATCTGATTCCCTTTCTCTGCATTCCAGGGGGCCTCTGGGTTAGGGAGAGGGACGCAGCTCTGGCTCTGTAGCGTCCTGTTCTTCACCATCTCTCGTCAGTGTTTGGGAAATCACTTTTTCTGTTTCCAACTATTGTCTTTTCTTTTCAAATTTGATGCAATATGTCTTCTAATCTCACTAAAAACTCATTCTTCTTTTTATTTTTTATTTTGAGAGGACATTCGTTAACGCTGGGACAGTGAAGCAAGGAAGGGCTTGGAGTAGAGGCAGCAGCAGGAGAGATGAGGCGGAGCTGCTTTGGCTCTCCAGGAACTTTAGGGGAAATAAGTGAGCCAATGTCGGCTCACTGGAGTCAGAGACAAGGGGGCCTCGGAGGCTGGTTCAGGGGGTGAGCCCTGGATGAGCTGCCACTGCCCGTTGCTCCCCTGGTTGCAAGTCTCATGGGACCCTCAGAGTTTAGGAAGTGCATGCCTGTGGGGGGGAAAGAGGAGGAAGGATAAGGCTTGGCATGCTCCCAGGAAGGAAAGTTCACACTGGGTCCTTTGTTTTACGGGTTTTAAAGGCTGGGAGTTTAGGGGAAGTCTTAGGGGAGGATCTTTTTTTTTTTTTTTAATTTGTATTAATTTGAGAGAGAGAGAGAGAGACCTAGATTTGTTGTTCCACTTATTTATGCCTTCATTGATTAATTCTTATATGTGCCCTGGCTGGGAATTGAACCCAAAACTTTGGCATATTGAGAAGATGCTGTAACCAAATGAGCAACCTGGCCAAGGCATAGGAGAGGTTTCAAGAGAATCATCATCAGATTTATGGCGATGCACCAAAATGAGATTTATTTCTTTTTATTTTATTTTATTTTTTATCTCAGAGAGGAAGAGGGAGAAAGAGATAGAAACAGCAATGATGAGAGAGAATCATTGATCTGCTGCCTCCTGCACAATCCCCACTGAGCCTGCAACCTGGGCATCTAACCATAATCTCCTGGTTTATAGGACAGCGTTCAACCACTGAGCCACACCAGGCCGGGCAAATTCATTTCTCTAACTTTATCATCCTCGGTATGGTTGGTACAAACTGTACTACTTGGATTTCTGCTATCTCTCTGGAGAGTCATTTAAGCTGTATAGCTCTGGTTAGGAAGAAGTGCAAATCATTTATTCTTAGTTGCCGTTGGTTATAGAATATAGGATTTTGGATTTACTAGCTGGTTGTAAACTGCTAGGTTCCTATTCTACTTTCCCTGGCTTACTGACCTGTCTTAACTGGGCCGGGTTTCCCGAAAGAGCTGAAGTCGCATGGTGGCAGTGCCGTGTGGAGTGTCCCCCTAACAGGAGCCATGGTACCAAGAAAGCTCTTGTTCACCCTGCTCTGTGGGTTAAAATCTCTTTGAAAATGTTTTCTCCTCCTGGGAGAAGGTGTGGGATCCCTTAACGCGACCCGTGTAGTTCAGGGCCCACGCAGGGTCCGGTTTCTGGAGAAGGCCGCACACTAAAATGAAGAGACTGGAAAAGAGTTAATTTGGGAGAATGGGGGCCAGGCGGGAAGCCCACCTCTAGTAGGAAGATTAACCCCTCTCTGGCCTTTTACCATTCCTTTTATTGAGATTCTGAGACAAAGACATCTCTTAGGTGAGAAGTTCCAACAACAGAAAATCAACAAGAATTTACATTTACATATGATTAACAAATTCAAGTTGCCTCAATCACCACTATCTCAACTGGACAATGAGTTAATAGCTCTGACCATTCAGAGCCATCAAACCTGGCTAGCTCGTTTTATATTTTATTACTAGTGACAAGGTTAGGTTTCGGTTCAGGCAAGAAGGCACTGGCCACGTCCTCTGTTCCCAGTGTTCCAGAGCTGCTGCCTCCTATTCTGATCTCTCTCTCTCTCTCTCTCTCTCTCTCTCTCTCTCTCTCTCTCTCTCTCTCTCTCTCTCTCTCTTGGTGGGGGGGAGGGAGGGCTGATTCACCTGAAAAGTGTGGACACACAGGAGTACCCATCATTGCAGGTCCTCTGAGCTGGAGGCCCTGAGGGGAACGGAAGGGGCCGCCAGCACCCGGCAGGCAGGCCAGGCTGAGCCCCCAGGCAGAGCTGTGAGAGGAGCGGGTTTTGATGGGCGCGGGCATATGACCCTGATCTCCCAGCAGCCAGGAACCCTGTCCTTCCAGGCAGGGCGCCCTCAGTCCCTCCCCAAGGACCACAAACAGGCTCTCTTCTGCGCCCCACCGAGCTCCTCCTGCAGAAGTCCTCCTCCCTGGACCCTGGGGGCGGGCGGGGGCTGTCATCCCAGGGGCCCAGCCACGAGCCTGAGGCCGGCCCAGGGCTCCCCACACCACAGCGCAGGGACGGGCATCACCCGGAGGGGCTCTGCTTCAGGAAGGGGATGACCTTGGGCGGCTTTTCGGGGAACTGCAGGGCGTACAAGTGCGCCATGTACTGGAGCTCGGGCATGACCATCCTCTGGCACATGCGCAGCATCTCGTTGTCCAAGCCCGGCCTGAGGTTGTAGCCCATGATGTCGGCCTGCCCGGACTGGAAGGGCTGCAGCCGCAGGTCGGTGATCTCCGTCCTGTTCTTGGGCGCGCTGTCCTGCAGGCACAGGGCCGCCAGCTCCCGCCGCCGCGCCCGCAGCCCCTCCACCTCGGCGCGCAGCCGCCGCGGGCCCAGCTCGGCGCGCAGCGCGGCCCAGAAGGTGCGGTTGAAGTGGCGGTAGAGGCGCCAGTCCAGGGCGCACCAGCGCTTGGCGCGCTCCTGGCCCTCGGGCGTCAGGCGGGTGACGGTGCCCGGGCTGCGCGAGTTGACCTTGAAGGAGACCACGTCGTCCAGCCGCCAGCGCAGCCGGCGCCGCAGCAGCACCATGGACTCGTCGAAGTGCTCGGCGATGAGCACCAGCGGGAAGCGCCGCTCCGCCTCGGCCAGGCGCGCGCGCACGTAGCCCTCCTCGGCCGGCGCGTTGGGGTCGAAGCCCAGGTCGAACCACATGTGGTTGCGGGCGCAGGCGTTGCGCAGGTCCAGGGTCTCGTTGTAGTAGGCGTGCGGGGCCGCCAGGAAGGCGTCCAGGCTCGGGGCGGCCCGGAAGGCGGGCGCGTAGTGCCTGTAGTAGGTGAAGGAGGACTCCAGCTGGAAGACGGGGTTTCTGAGGATGGAAAAGTACAGGGTGTCGTTGGGCATCACCTTCTGCACCTGTGCGGAGACAGAACGAGGGCTGTGGTGACGCTCCGGCTTCTCCCAGAAGCTCTGGGGGCAGGTGCCCTCCCCCCTCCACCTCTACTCCCACTGCCCACCCCCACCCCAACTCCCCACCCTCACCCTCACTGCCCACCCTCACCCCACTGCACACCCCTACCCCCAACTCCCCACCCTCCCCCCTCCACTCTCCACCCCCACCCCCACTGCCCACCCCCACTGCCCACCCTCACCCCCACTGCCCACCCTCACCCCAACTCCCCACCCTCCCCCCTCCACTCTCCACCACCACCCCCACTGCCCACCCCCAACTCCCCACCCTCACCCTCACTGCCCACCCTCACCCCACTGCACACCCCTACCCCCAACTCCCCACCCTCCCCCCTCCACTCTCCACCCCCACCCCCACTGCCCACCCCCACCCCAACTCCCCACCCTCACCCCCACTGCTCACCCCCATCCCCAACGCCCCACCCTCACCCCCACTGCCCACCCCATCCCCAACTCCCCACCCTCACCCCCACTGCCCACCCTCACCTCCACTGCCCACCCCATCCCCAACTCCCCACCCTCACCCCCACTGCCCAACCTCACCCCCACTGCTCACCCCCACCCCACCCCCAACTCCTCACCCTCACCCCCACTGCCCACCCCCACCCCCACTGCCCACCCCCACTGCCCACCCTCACCCCCACTCCCCACCCTCACCCCCACTGCCCACCCTCACCCCCACTCCCCACCCCCACCCCCACTGCCCACCCCCACCCCCAACTCCCCACCCTCCCCCCTCCACTCTCCACCACCACCCCCACTGCCCACCCCCACCCCCACCCCCAACTCCCCACCCTCCCCCCTCCACTCTCCACCACCACCCCCACTGCCCACCCTCACCCTCACTGCCCACCCCATCCCCAACTCCCCACCCCCACCCCCACTGCCCACCCTCACCCCCACTCCCCACCTTCACCCTCACTCCCCACCCTCACCCCCACTGCTCACCCTCACCCCCACCCCCACCCCCACTGCACACCTGATCCTGCCCACCGCCTCTCCCACCGGCTTCCCTGCATCCCGTCCTCGCCACCTTGCTCCCTTGACTGCCACTTTGCACGAGTGTCCAGAATGATCCTAAAACACTGGAGCTTGGCCCTGCCCTTCCCCCAAACTCCCTCCACGCCCTCTCTCTCCTGGGAGGGAAGTCAGGGAAGCTCCCAGGAGGAGATGATCTCTAAGAACCTGAGACCCAAATGGCCCACAAGAGGGGGGCGGCACATGCAAAGGTCCTGGGGGTGGGAAGACTGTGCAGTTTGGGAACAAGAGGAATCTGGAGAAGGAGGAGAGGGCGGCAGGCTGTGAGGGCACCCCTGTCTGATTCCCAGAGCGATCGCAGGCCAAGAGAAGTGGGGGTTGGAGTGGCAGGGTCTCCCAATGGACCGCTGCCAGCCCCCTCCAGCCAGGGCCCTGCACACACCCCGCATCCTCTCCCGTGGCCAGGCCTGACGCCCTCCCGCGTCAGCCTCGAAACCACAAGGTGCCTTCAAGGCCTGCCCCTCCGCCCCGCCCCATCTCCCACCTGCAGCGGGCACCCCCAGCCCCACCTCGGGCAGGTTAAACCTCAGGTGGTTGCACATGATGTTGAAGTGCCGCTGCGGGCCGTCCTGCCTCACGCCCTCCACGTAGCGCGTCAGGAAGAGCCAGGGGTAGCCCAGGTGGAAGCGCGCGCCGGCCGGCAGCGCCACCGACAGGTTGTGCGCCTCGGCGAACCGGTAGAGGATGTTGAGCACCGTGCTGCTGGCCGTCTTGTGCGTCTTGAGAAACATGATGTTGGTGACGGGCGGCCCCTCCGTCTGGCCGCCGAGCAGGCTGGGAGGACAGCGTACTGCCATCAGTGAGGGACGCTGCTCGCCCCACCCCCGTGCACCCCAACCGGAAGTCCCCACTGGGAGAGACCCCAACCCAGCACACTCCCAGCTGCATCACTGTGGTCCCTCCAACCTAGAGGCCCCCCAACCCTGAAGCCCCCAAGGTCCCGCTGGCACAAACATGATTCTCCCTAGGTGGCTGCATCGTCTGACCCTCATGCACTGCAGGCTGGACCCCTAGACGCTGGCTCCTCTCTGGGCCCCCCAACTTCTTGTCTGGCTCCTGGGGCACCTGACATGGTGCTGGCCCTGTGGCCTGGGCCACGTGTCTGGCATTTCTTGGCTGACTCTTCATATCAGGATGGGCCAACCTGACCACAGGGCAAGAGTGGAGGCTGGCCGAAACCGGTTTGGCTCAGTGGTAGACCATCTGTCTGCGGACTGAAGGGTCCCAGGTTCGATTCCGGTCAGGGGCATGTACCTTGGTTGCGGGCACATCCCCGGTAGGGGGTGTGCAGGAGGCAGCTGGTTGATGTTTCTCTCTCATCGATGTTTCTAGTCTCTCTCCCCCTCTCCTTTCCTCTCTGTAAAAAATCAATAAAATATATTTTAAAAGAAAAAGAAAAAAGTCCTTACCCAAGGATAGAAGAAGAAGAAGAAGAAGAAGAAGAAGAAGAAGAAGAAGCTGCTAATGGGTCCCAAAAGCTAATGGGTCAGGCCATCTAGGAGGTGTGACCTGCCCGGTCACTGGCCAGTGCTTGGAGAAAGGCAGGCTGGGGCCCTGTGCTGGTCCGGGAGGGAGCAGCACTCACGGTGTGAGCATTTCCATGTCCGCATGCAGGCGGCAAACCAGCAGGAGCAGGGTCAGAGTCAGGGTCAGGAGGAGGAGGGTCCAGAAGCACCTGTGGGGAGGGGAGCCACAGTCAGGGGTACAGCAGGGACCAGTGCCACCCACCCCACCCACCTCAGCTCAGCATCACCCATGTAACAGCTCCTGTTGAGCCCTCAGTGGCTATACCCTGTGCCCCCCATGTACCACAGGCTGGGCTCCTGTACTGTGTGCCGGCCTGCCAGGCCCTGGGTGGATGGATCATCAGACTCACTCCCCTTTGGCCCCCTGCCACACTCCCCACTGCCCAAAGCCAAGAGGCAGATCCATTCTCCGGGAAGTGGGCAGGAGTCTGACAGGTGGAGGTGAGAGCAGGTCAGGGGTCCCTGGAGACTGGCCTGACTGAGACCCCTGAACTCACCCCCCAGGGGTGCATTCTGGGTGGGGGCCGAGAGGTAGTACATCCTGGCATTCCGGCCCCCACACACATACACACACAGAAAGGGAGAAGCCCCACAAAAGAGGACACTTAGAGGGCCCCCCTAGGAACTCAGCAGGTGAGGTTCAGGCAAGAGTCCCCGAGGGAGACACTGTGACCAGATCAAGGGAGAGACGGGCTAGGACAGGGCGCCCCCTTGTTGTGATGGACACCACCTCTCAGGACCTCTGAGTTAAAGCGCACAGAGCCTTTGTCCAGAGAGGACACGTGCAAGGATTTGTCCTGGAGTCACCGAGTCCCCTGACACCTGACCTGCTCTACCCCACGGAGTCCCAGGGGGTCGCTGGTACCCACGGGCTCAGGAAGATCACATGTCTCGCCTGAGGCCACTCGCTGGGGAAGAGGCTTGTGCCCAGAGACACATTCATCGGCAGCCACACCGTCCCCGCCCACCCGCACAGCACCCCGCCTTCCACACGGGCAGGTGGGAGCTCCCGGAGCCGGAAGAGCCCAGGCACGCCCCGCAGAGCATGCCAGTGGAAAGAGCCAGGTCAGGGCCCAGCGGCACCACGTGGGGAGGACAAGCTCAGGTGGATGCCAGAGACCCTGAGGGTTCGCCCGGGAAGGGAAATGTGCACGCTGCAGACACTTAACACTCTGCGTGCACTGAGCACACTGTGGGCACTGCACAGATAAAGCACACACAGTGCACACACTGAGCACACTGCCCACCCTGCACACAGTATGAGCACTGCACAGACAAAACACACACAGTGCACACACTGAGGACACTACACACACAGTACACACACTGAGCACACTGCCCACCCTGCACACAGTATGAGCACTGCACAGACAAAGCACATACAGTGCACACACTGAGGACACTGCACACACAGTGCACACAGTGTGGACACTATCAACACTGCATGTTCTGCACACACATTGCACACAATGCACACACACGGACGCTAGATAAGCTTTTCCCTCCCTCACTTCTGCCTTGTTCTCCAAGTCATTGTCTCCCTGATGCTCCCCCAATCCTTATGACAGGTGGGAGTAGCTTATCCTTAATAAGTGATAGAATAGCCCGCTGACATGGCTCATTGGTTGAGCGTCGACCTATTAACCAGGAGGTCACAGTTCGATTCCCAGTCAGGACACATGCCTGGATTGGGCCCAATCCTCAATGTGGAGTGGGCAGGAGGCAGCCAATCAATGATTCTCTCCAATCACTGATGTTTCTATCTCTCTGCCCTTCCAGTCTGAAATCAATAAAAATGTTTTTTAAAATAAGTGATATTATATTTAAAATCATATTTCTTGAAATATTAACATTTGTTGTATATAAATGGCTAATTATCTTGTATCTACAACCTGATAATAGACTTAGTTTGCATATTGCATGGTTAAATGCAAAATAAATAACTAAATAAATAAATGTGAGTGGGGAAAGTGATATCCCTAGCTGGTTTGGCTCAATGGATAGAGGGCATTGGCCTGCGGACTGAAGGGCCCTGGGTTCGATTCCGGTCAAGGGCCATGCCCGGGTTGAGGGCTCGATCCCCAGTAGGGGGCGTGTAGGAGGCAGCCAATCAATGATTCTCATTATTGATGTTTCTATCTCTCCCTCTCTGAAATCAATATATATATATTTTTTTATTTTTTTAAATAAGTGATAGAACAGCAGTGAGTGGGGCCCAATAGGGAAGGGCGCCCAAGTCAGCAGTGGCCTGTGGGCAGCAGCACAGGGACCCCTTAGACGCAGAAAGGGGAGTGGCCAGGAGAAGCGGCTGGGGGGCTTAGGAGAAGCAGGGCCCCAGTGAGGTGCACGGATCTGGGGGAACCACAGTCTGCACCAGAGTGAGAAGGGACAAGTTTCCAAACCCCAAAGGGTCGCCCTTCTAGAAGGCTTTACTGTGGTCCCAGAGCCACGGGGTCCCTGTGCTCCAGTCATCCCCACTGAACTCCTGAGGCCCTCCCAGGCAAGCGGCGTGCTGTCCCCAGCCACCTGCCGGGTCTAACCCCTGCTGGGACGCCTGCCAGGCCGGTCTCCCTTATGGTACTCTCCAGTCGACCTTTTGTTCCACCATAAAACTCCCTCCCCCAAATACTGCGGTTTAGCGACTCCTTATAGATGCACAGATGGTTGGTCTCTAACGAGAGCCCAGTGGTGGCACGAGGCTAAATGGATGATTGGCTTGGTATGTGAGTTACATGTCAATAAAGTTGGTTTTTTTGTTTTGTTTGTTTGTTTGTTTGTTTTTAATATATTTTATTGATTTTGTACAGAGAGGAAGGGAGAGAGATAGAGAGTTAGAAACATCGATGAGACAGAGTCATCCATCAGCTGACTCTTGCACACCCCCTACTGGGGATATGTCCACAACCAAGGTACATGCCCTTGACTGGAATCGAACCCGGGATCCTTCAGTCCCCAAGCCGACACTCTATCCATTGAGCCAAACCGGTCTCAGCTCAATAAAGCTGTTTGAAAAAGTAAAATTTTAACACTGTTTAAATGACTCCAGCTGCAAAAAAAAAAAAAAAAAAAGCCAATAATTGTGAGGAAAGTTATGAAAAATAGTTGAAAAGTATAAACCATGCAATCACGCTTCCAAGCACCTGTAGCTGGAAGGAGCCACCTCGATCCCTAAGAACTTCACCTCTCGAATAAACACTTCTCTGTGGCACCCCTTCCCTCTGGGGGTGGCCGCGTTGCTCAGGAGCCTCAAACTCCCTGCATTTGGAACTGAGAACGGGATGTGGCATTGGTCCAGTTCCACTGGTGCCCAGTGGGGAGAGCGTAAGGCGACCAGGCCCAAGCCCACGCCCCTGTGAGCCGAGGGCTGGCCAGTGCGCGCCCCAGGTGAGGCCATTCCCAGGTTACTCAGGCAGAATTCCTGGCATCTGGTAACAACCAATAAAAGATATAAAACTGTGAGCAATAAACAGTCAAGACAGCCAGCATATGAGCAAGATTCACAATGGCCCATTGACCAGCTCATGAGAAATGGACAAACATTTGCCCTCTAGGGGGGTTATAAAAGGAAATGGAACCAAATGTTTGACCGTCATTCAGCGGTCAGCCAATTTTAGCTGGGATCTAGAAAAACAATACCCAGCCTAATCTCTAATTTTTTGGGGGGTGATCTTACAAATCACCCCCAAAATCCAGCACTATAGGTAGAAGAATCACACACCCGGTCACCTGCGCCACCCTCTCTTTCTTGTCAGGGTCCCAGAGCCGGAGGGAAGCAGAATGGACTGGAAAGGGTCGCTGCCATCCCCCCCACTTCATGGCCTAGAAGCTCTCCCTCTGGCCTTGGACTCTGGACTTTCTTAGAACAAGTTCTTCCTCAGCGAATGCAGGGCCCCACCTACACAGAGCTCACGTGTAGGATCCAAAACCATCAGATAAAGCTATCCCCTAGCAGCAGTCACTGCTCATCCACCCAACTATTGTCCCTTCACCTGGTCCTCATGGAACCCAATGGCACTTCAGCTGGAAGGGTGTGAGGGCAGAGAGAGCATTTAATCAGCAAGGGCTAGGAGGAGACTGAACAGTTTCTCAGGGCGTCCCTACACACACACACACACACACACACACACACTCACACTCACACACTCACACATGTATACATGCACACGCTCACACATACATGCACATGCATACATTTGCTCACACATACATGCTCTCACACATACATGCACACACTCACACACACATACACATACTCACATACACATACACAACACACTCACACACAAGCACTTGTCAGCAAAGGCTGATCCTCAGGGAACAGGAGGCCTAGACCCCTTTCCCACTCAGGGGGCAGAGAGAAAGCACTGAGGAGCCAGCCTCCAGCACTGCCACAGAGACCTGCGTGAGGCCGGCACAGGCTCCCGGAGGCCAGGGGCCGGAGACCTGGTCAATGCGGAGTGGAGACCGTGGGCCAGCAAGTTCAGAGCACAGAGCCATCCATATATAGGCCAAATCAAAGAAACAGGGCCCCGGCCAGCATGGCTCAGTGGTTGAGCGTCGACCTATGAACCAGGAGGCCACAGTTAATGCCATCAGGACACACGCCCAGGTTGCAGGGCCATGAAGGAGGCAGCCAATCAATGATTCTTTCTCATCACTGATATTTCTATTTCTCTTCCCCCCTCCCTTCCTCTCTAAAATCAAGTAAAAATTATTTTTAAAAGAAAGTGATGGGGTGCCAGGCATTACAAACTGAACACCCCCCAAATCACAGAGGAGAGGAGTGTGGGTCACCCTGCACCCGGGACTTCGTCCAGAAGAAGAAAAGCAGGCCACGTTGTCACCACCTGCAGGAAGTGGCAGAGGAGAAATGCGGACACAGATGCTGTCCCGCCACACCCACCTACCTGCTCCCTCCCCTCAAGATGCCGCCCATTTCACTGCCACTCAATTGGGAATGAAAGGATGTCACTTCGACCAGTAGAATGTGCTGGAAGTGATGCTGTGCCATTCTGACCTTGAAGTCACTGGGGAGGGTTTGTGCCAAAGTCCATCACAGGCAAGGAGACTGACTCACTGAGACGCCACAGCCCATCCGGCCAGAAAGTCTCGGCTCTGCTCACAGCTCCTCGGACTGCCCCAGGCCACGGGGTCCCTGCCCACGGTTGCCCTCTCTCTGCCCCTCAACAAACAAGCACACCGTTTGCTGGGCCAAGCGAGAGAAGCCTGCAAACGTTCGCACAATTCAAGGGAACTAAGCAGTCCCTGTGGGGACAGGGACTCTGTGGCTGCAGTGACTTGGGAGCCCCTTCCTCCAAGCGCTTTGAGCTGAACCCGTGAGCCTGGGACACTCAGAGCAACCAGACAGCCCAGGCCCTGGGGCTCCCCACGCTGCCTCGCTCGCCCTGAGCACAGGATGCTGGGCAGCCAGAGAAACCCAGCGTCGCCCCAGCCAGAGTGACCCTACCCCCAGCCTTCATATCTCCCTCCTCCTCACAGAACGGTGACAACTGGGACCTTCCCCCATCTCCGCCAGCCCCCAGGGCCCACAGCGAGGGCTGGGCACAGGTGGAGGGGAGGGCATCAGGGGTGCTGGAATCCCCCAAAAAGGCTTGTGGGATGAAGCAGAGAAGTAAAATGCAAAGCATCTGCAGACCAGGCCCGCCTCTCTCCAACTTCAGTGCATCCGAGAGTCTGCCTCCTCTGCTTATAAAGGGGAACAGCCACGTGTCACCCAAAGCTGGCAGGGACTCCCTCTCGCACATGCAGGCCACCAGCAAGCGTCCCCGAATGCAAATGCAGGCAACTGCCAATTCCATGAAGGGGGATGGAAGGTCACCACAGATACAGGGCCCAGCCACTGAGAGGTCTGGGCCCCTCTCAGTCCCCCACTCAGGCCTTCACCCCAAACCCCAAATCCTCATCTCCTCCTCAGTCCTGGGCTCTTGTCCCCCAGAGGCCCAAGCCTGGGGGTGGATTCAGGGGAGTGTTAGAGCCCCCAACCACGCGACTTCCTTTTTAAGTCAAACACAGAATGATTCCTTTCTGCCAGGTTCTCAGAATATCCGAGGATTAAAGAAGTGCTTTGTCTCTCCTGGAGGGCCCAGTTGTCCGCCCCCCACTCCTCGCCTTACCTCTGCATGCTGCCCTGCAGGGTCAGCAGCATGCTGGCGGGTCCTGGGAGCTGGCACGGCAGGGCAGGTGGGTTCAGGCCCTCTGCCGGGGCCTGCCCCAGGCCACAGGCTGCATGTGGCCCCTTGCAGAGTATGAATTTGATTCCCAGAGAAGCTCACCTGCCAGCTCAGGTATGAGGCCACACCCTCCACCCTCACCCCAATGGGAGGGGTTATCTCTGGGCCAAAGGAAGAACCAGCCCTTCCCTGGGCACCGATGTGAGCTGTTATCTTTCTCAGACTCTCCTCCAGGCTCCCCTCGCCGTCCACCTGCTCTCCCTGCCCACCTCAGTCGGCCTGGGGTGGGCTTGGAGGGAGCTGTGGGCAGCCTCCAGGGCCTCTGGATCCAGAACTCAGGAGATGCAAATACTTGAGTTTGAAGCAAAGACAGTCAGTCAACATCGTTGAGGAGGAAAAAGGGTGCTATGTGACTAAGTTCAAGAGCTGTTCTCCCTCTCCTTTTCTTCTGAAAAGTGTGCTTTATGCCAGGAGGACATTTACTATTTCTTATATCTTGGGCTGAAAAAACCTTTCAATGACGATACCATCTTAGGAACACAACAAAAAGTACTCGTAAATTTTACCGTATAAAAGCTCCTTTCTTTCTTCAGGAAATAAATGAATCTCATTCAAAAGACAAACAACAGACAACAGACTGGGGAAATGTTTATAGCACCTGACCGCGTGGAAAAGTCCATTAAAAAAAAAAAAAGCCCCGGTAAACAACATAGACTGATGAACAAGAACCGGTTTGGCTCAGTGGATAGAGCGCTGGCCTGTGGACTGGAAGGTCCCGGGTTCGATTCCAGTCAGGGGCATGTACCTTGGTTGCGGGCACATCCCCAGTGGGGGGGAGGGGTGCAGGAGGCAGCGGCAGCTGATTGATGATTCTCTCTCATCGATGTTTCTAGCTCTCTATCCCTCTCTCTTCCTCTCTGTAAAAAAATCAATTATAAATATATATAAAAAGAAAAAAAAAGGACAGGCCCAGAGATAAGGAGCCATGGGTCAGACTCTTGGACCTCAGAGGGAGGGTGGGAATAAAAGGGAGAGATCAACCAAAGGACTTATGTGCATACAGATGAGCCTAACCAGTGGTCAAGGACAATAGGGGGGTGAGAGCATGGGGGGGGGGGGAATTGGAATGGGGGTTTGAGGACAAATATGTGATACCTTAATCAATAAAGAAATTAAAATAAAAAGAAAAAAAATAAAAAGAAGAAAGCCCATGGCCCATTGAGGGGCTCGGACAGGACAGACAGCCGTGTGGAGGAGGCCAGGCTCGGGGAGGGGGACGCTGCACAGCTGGTGGGACAGGCCACCACGGTGGGGCCTCCTTCCCCACCTGGCATCTGCACACACAGAGCTCCGGGGCTGTGGCTCAGAGGGCACGGGGTCTGCACCCCAGGACAGCCCTCAAGGGCCCCGCCTCCCTCCTCAGAGGAGCTGGAGCTAAGCACCCCGGGCCTCGCTTCTAAAACGGGGGTGGGAGTTGAACAGAGGAACAGGGGCCTCGCTTCTAAAACGGGGGTGGGAGTTGAACAGAGGAACAGCGTTACGCCGCCGAGGAAAGACAGGCGGTGCGCAGACCGCACCCACCTGGCCAGGAATCCGAGCAGCACAAACCAAAGGAGACTGCGCCTGGCCAGCAGGCTAGGATTCCGGTGCCTTAGCCAGCGAGCCCCTCACTCACGCCTTGTGATAAGCCACCCGGAACCTGGGAGGCCCAGCGGCAGGCGTGGCTCCTCAGGCTCACGGTCTGCCCGAGGTTCGGTTTCCGGTGGGGTTTGCCCTGCGCTCGAGCAGCCGCCAGGACACGCTCTTTACATAGAGGATAGCGGGGAGGTCCTCATCCCACAGGCCAGCGAAGCCACACGGCCAAGCCCGAGGTCCCGAGAAAAACGTGAAGCCAGGGTCAGCAATCCCACAGGGCGCCGGGGGGGGGGGGGGGGGGGGGGCACGTCCTCTGTAGGAAGCTGTGGGTCAGGTGAGAGACAGGGCAGGGCCCACTGACGGGCAGGAGGGACCAGGCCCAGGGCAGTCTGAGTGGTGCTGCCTCCTGCAGGCCCCACCACGGTGCCCACCTCTCCCGTCTCCTCCCGAGGCAGAGCCCCAGGGTTCAGGGCACAGGGCTCCCACTGCTTTCTCAGGGCAGCGCTCCCTGGGCCCCACGCAGGCATCAGCCTGGCTCCTCAGGGAGCCACAGTGGGGCAAATGAGCTAGGGAAAACTGTGGGATTATGCTTCGAAATGCCATTCCTCTGATTCATTGGGGCTCACTCGGGGCACTGGCCTGGTGAAAAGGACAGTCATTCGAACAGATAAACAGACCCAGGGCAGCCAACTGTTCACCCGTTTACAGCTGGGAAGGAGTTCTGGGCGTGGGGGGAGTGGGGGCGCCCACAAGTCCACAGGTGGGGACATCTCGGGACCCACGTGCCAAGGCCTCATCTCCACCTGCTGGGACATCAGACTTTATTGCTCTTGTGACACATGTGTTCATATAACCCCAACCCTAACCCAACACCTTGGTGTAGACAGTGACCACACCTCACTGGGTCAAAGTCTCAGGACACTTGGTGAGGGAACCCCAGAGAAAGGGCAGCTGTGTGAACACCTATGAGAAGCGCCCCAGGGCCCCATCCCTAGGGAACAGTGGTACAGGTCCTGAGGTGTTGGCACAGTTGGTGATGGGCTGGCCCAGGGTGTGGAGCCCGTGGAGAAAGACCACAGCTGCATGCCGGGTCAAGGGCAAGGCCTGCATGGAGGCCGCAGCCTCAGCACCTGGTGTCCAAAGCCAAGGGACCCCAGGACGGCCCATGGGAGACGCCAGCAGGGGAGAGCAGGGGTTAGGGGCTCAGCCTCAGCTGTTGGAGGTTTGGAGGCTGGAGAGGAGGAGGCAGCAGCTAAGGACGCTGACAGGGGAGCATTGGGGGTCAGCTGTCAGGTGGATGAGGACCAAGGACTGACCACAGGGTCAGTGGGGGAAGGGGAGCCGGTGAAGAGTGATGGGGATGGCTAGGGCTCCAGGAGAGGAACTGACTTCAAACCTAGAAGGCAGGGAGGGGAGCTGGGTGCCCGGGGTAGGCTGCAGGGACTTGGCCCTCCATTGTCCTGAGCAAAGGGTGCCCCATGGAGACCAGGGCTGGGGAGCAGCCATGTGCAGCCTGGTTTGTACCAATGAGAACACACGTCTCTCCTGGCCAGTCCGACTGAGGGAGACTGTGCACCCAGGAGGTCTGGCTCACTGACTCTGAAGTACCAGTTGGCTGGGTCCTTCACCTTTGCTTGGCTCCTCAGGCGTGGCTCCTCAGGCTCAGGACCTGTACTGGAGGGGAGTGTCCTCAGGCGTGACACTTTGCTTCTTTGTAAGCAAACTTATCTATGATTATAAAACAACGGTGGCTATGTCAATACGTTTCCTCCCCGCTACCTTTCCACACACCCAGAAAATCCTGTTGGAACCAACAGGAAAATCTGACTAAAGAGCCGGATGCGGCTGCAGACTTGCTGAGCCAAGGGCACATGCCCTTGGGGAACTCGCTCCCAGTGGCCCTGAATGTCACCAAAGCTGGTGGAGTGCCCATCAAACAGCGCACTGTCCAGGCCACACCGCACGAAGCATCACGTGGAAAGGCAGCCTCCCTTTCACCCACACCCCAGAGTTGAGGCTGGAGGAGGCAAGGAATGGAGGACCAGGAGCCGTGTCATCCCCTGCCTGTCCTTCTATCCCCATCAAGAGCCCACCTTGGACCTCCTGAACCTCACTTCCTCCCCTCACCCCAAACTGGGAGGTCTCGTTGGCTCTCATGCCCCTCCTCTGACCCTCCAAGTCTGGGGGGGGGGGGAGAGGAAGGGTCAAAAGGGGCCCTTGGGTGGCCTGAGATCCCTGCAGAGGTTGGTGGGCTTGGTGATAGAATGGAGGGAAGAGCTTTCTGCGTAGCCCGCACAGAGGTGCCTGTGAGGCTGATGTCTCCCTGGGCCAAGTCCCATGCCGTGCGGGGAGGGGATCAACCCTGCATGTAGGGCGGAGACAGCCACTCACCTTCGATGCATCCAGGCCTGGGTGTCATACAGAGGACAGCTGTGTCACCCACCACAGGGGGGTCCAGAGGGCCATGTGGACACAGGCTCCAGGAGATGCTCAGGCCTGGCCTTCCTGGCCTCAAAGACCCTTGGTGGGTGCACAGCCCCACCTCCCTCACCCAGAGCATCTGACTGTGGTGGGAGGCCCATCGTCCCTGCTTCCCTCCGTCTATACCCAGAGGTCATGTGCAGCTCTCCACCTGGACACTCCTGTGCCCCCACATTCCTCTCTCCGTGAAGGTCCGGGGGCTGCCTTGCTCTTCCTTTAAAGGGAACGTCCTCTTTCCACCCAGCCACCCACACCTCACGCGTCACCACCACTCTGATCCCTTGCAGGTGCGAGGGCCCAGGGACACTCCCCTCCAGTTGGGTCCCAGCTCCGGGATCCAGGCAGGAAGTGTGAGCTGAAGCCAGAGGCCGGGAGCCCTTGGCTGCCACCCAGCTCAGACAAAGCCCGTGATGCGGATTTTCGAGGTTCGCCACCCAGGTGCCCTGGGGAAGGAGGGAGGCCCCCTGTGACTGGTGGGACCTGGAGCCCCATGAGAGCAGGTCAGAGGTGTAGGAGCAGAGAAACCACCATGAAGTCTGGGGGCAGGTGGCACCCCTGCTGGAAGAGCCCCGTCAGAGGAAGGGTCACCACCAAGCCCACTCTGCCACCTGCTTCCTGTGCAGGGCTGCCTCCAGCCGCCACGCTCACACCTCTGGACCCGGTGTGAATGGATGGCCTTTGGGGCAGACCCAGCGCGTGAGGGGAGGCCGGCCAGGCCACGTGTTTCCTCCTCCCCTGGGTGGGGGTAGCCAGAAGCAAGGGGCTGGCAGGACGATGGGTGGGAGGGGCTCCCATACACAGAATCAGGAGTGCACCCTCTTTGCCAGGGGAGTGAGCACCAGGACTGCCAGCTGGCCGTATGCCACAGAGGACCCCTCAGGCAGCAGCCCCGCCGGGCCCTGGCTGTGACCGGAGCACATGAACTGACCCCAAGGCCTGAGGCAGGACGAGGGCCAGAGCCCAGCCCTCTGCCTCAGACCAGTAAGCTAGAATGTGAGTCACCAAGCCCAATGTCCCATCCTCCCCCAGTCACCCTCAGACCCTCTATGGTAGGGGTGTCAAACTCAATCAGAGAAGGGGCCAAAATCTAAAATCCAGCCTAAATCGCGGGCCGAATGGTTTACTGAACAGTCATAAACTGTCATTGTGATGGAAACGCAGCGGAGTGCAGTGATGACAGCGCGGTGCGGGCCACATTGCAAGGCCTGGCGGGACGGATTTGGCCCGCGGGCCTTGTGTTTGACACATGTGCTCTATGGGACCCACTATGACCCATCCCCCTCAGAGGGCTAATGGCTGCTGCAAACCCCACCCACAAACAAGGGCACGTCATCTGACTTCCCAGCCACGTCCCCAGAATACCTATTTGCACGTCGGGACCAGAGCCAGTGGGGCGGGGAGCCAGGCCTTACAGGGGCTCCGTCCAGGAAGGCCCTTTTCCATGCACCCCTGCTCCAGGAGCTGTTCCAGAAACTTCTGTGACTCACTTGTTCCCACCATCACGTGTCCCTGAGGAGCCTGTTCTGCCCCAGGCCCTTAAGTCCCCTAAGTCTGAGCGACTTCCAGCTGTGGATGGTCGTTTCCTGGATAGGGATGGGGGAGGAGGGTGAAGCTAGTTCTCATGGGGGTCCGAGAGATGGTGAGGTCACCTGGGACTGCGTCCACTGTGAGGTCTGTCACCTGTCAGTGGGGCTGAGGTCAGGGGTCAGGCACATTGCGCTGTGACCTGTCATCTCCCCCATTCCATAGAGCAGCATCCTGGGGCCACAAGACCCAAACTCTCCCCCTGAAGCCTCTAAGCCCACAATCATGGAACACCCCGAGGCCTGAGCAAACAGGAAGACTGCTATTCTCAGAGAATGCTCCCTGCAGACCTGCGTGGGGCTGCCCATCCCCAGCCACATCGCGGGCTTGAGGGGCAGACTCCTTGCCCCCCTCACTCCCCTACCCTGCTCCTGGATCTGAGACCACTGACTCACCCTCTCCTTCGCTTGCCCTCTGGCTGGGGCTTCCTCACCCCTCCCCTGGGCCCCGCTCCAGGCGGATGCCTCCCCGGGGGCCCCTTACATAACCTCTTCTCACATTGCAGTTTACAGGTTTTAAAGCAAAAATCGTAAGCTCTTCCTTATTCAAACACAATGGCCACCACATCCGAGATTGTCATCAGCAGAAGCAGCTTGCAGAGGGAGTTGTCTCTCCACCCCAGGGGTTCGGGGTCCAGGGCTTGCGGACTGGAAGGCAGGTTTTGCTTTACAGACATTCCCGACTGCTCCCCTGGACCAGATGAAAAAAAATTAGGAGAGGCTGCCTTTCCACGTGATGCTTCGTGGGGTGTGGCCTGGACAGTGCGCTGTTTGATGGGCACTCCACCAGCTTTGGTGACATTCAGGGCCACTGGGAGTGAGTTCCCCAAGGGCATGTGCCCTTGGCTCAGCAAGTCTGCAGCCGCATCCGGCTCTTTAGTCAGATTTTCCTGTTGGTTCCAACAGGATTTTCTGGGTGTGTGGAAAGGTAGCGGGGAGGAAACGTATTGACATAGCCACCGTTGTTTTATAATCATTCACCCTACTAAGCATAGATAAGTTTGCTTACAGACCTGGGGAAACTGAAGGATGAAACAAGGCTGCAAACAGCTGAGATTCCTCTGCCCCGCCAGTCAGCTGTCTGGTCAAAATACAGGCCTGGGCCCAGTTTTCAGGCTTCATCCCCAGTGGGGGATGGGGGAAGGCATGTAGGAGGCAAATGGCTCCCCCGACCCAGATATCTGAATCAGCTTGTCACCTGGTTTGTCCTGTTTTGTTTCTAAAGTATACATGCACTTAGTTTAAAAAAAAAAAAAAAAAAAAAAGTGCAAGGCATCCAAAAATTACAAAAAGAATCTTCCTACTCCGACAGCCAGGCGCCTTCCCCAAGGGAGCCCAGCTGATTTCAACACACTGGAAGGTTCTGTGTGCAACCGGCTTCCTCAAGCCAATGTCCTCTCTTGGGAGCAGGTGGCTGTCCCCTTCACCCCTCTTCTTGCTGTCCTTCTGTCTGGGGGTCTCAGAGGCAGGTCTAAAAGGCCAACTCCCACCTGTCCAGCAACGGATGCCAGGTGCAGACAGTGCTCTGCGCATGTCCTGGGGACAAGCCTGTGTGGGTGTGGTATGTGTAAATGTGTGTTGTGGGCCTGTGTGAACCGTGTCTGTGTATAGTGTCTGTGCATGTGTGCATGTATTGCATACATGTACATACCTGTGCTCAGGTGGATTCTGTAGGGCCACCCCAGGAGTGAACTGCAGAGCACTTCACATTTTGACATTTTCGGGTCCAGCATGTGTCCCAGGGAGATGGAGGATCCTCCAACATTTGCTCCCAGAATCCGTGGGTCATCTTTGCAGAGCCCTGCTGCTACTCTAGCAGAAAATACCTCAAAATTCTTAGCCTTTTCGGAGCAGCGGCTGCCAGGCTGGGAGCGGCCAGGCCCGGAGCAGCCAGGTCTGGTGCAGCCAGGCCAGGAGCAGCGGCTGACAGGCTGGGAGCAGCCAGGCCCGGAGCGGCCGGGCCCGGAGCAACCGGGCCCAGAACAGCCGGGTCGGGTGTGGCCAGGTCTGTAGCAGCAACAGCCAAGTCCAGAGCAACTAGGTCGGGAGTGGCAGTGACCAGACCCGGAGCAGCAACTGCCAGGCTGGGAGCGGCCAGGCCTGGAGCAGCGGCTGCCAGGCTGGGAGCGGCCAGGCCCGGAGCAGCGGCTGCCAGGCTGGGTGCGGCCAGGCCCAAAGCAGCGGCTGCCAGGCTAGGAGCGGCCAGGCCCGGAGCAGCTGGGTCTGGTGCGGCCAGGCCCGGAGCAGCGGCTGTCAGGCTGGGAGCAGCCAGGCCCGGAGCGGCCGGGCCCGGAGCAATTGGACCCAGAGCAGCCGAGTCGGGTGTGGCCAGGCCTGTAGCATCAACAGCCAAGTCCAGAGCAACTGGGTCGGGAGCGGCAGTGACCAGACACGGAGCAGCTGGTTGTGGAACGAACCAGAGCAACAGAGGCCAGGCCCGGAGCAGCCTGGCCCAAAACAGCTCGCTCCTCACCTGCCCCTGCCCCACGGCTGCCTCTCAGACATGGCTGGAAACTTGTGCGGGAACTTGAGGGTCTGCTGAATCAAGTGATGAAGGCTTATATCTGGATGTGTTGAGTTAGTATAGTGCTGGGGTGTTGATCTGTGAGTGCCTTGGGTGGGGCCTGGATGAGGCTGGTTGTCCTATTAGGAAATGCCTTTTGTGTAAAGTGTATCATTGGGCATGTGGAGGTATTATTGATATGAGAAAATGCTAAGTAACAGATTTGCTATCTGAAAAGGGATTTACTATCGGGGAAAGGGAGGGAGGAAGAGACTGAACATAAACTGTGCACCAATGGATGAGGATGAGGGGGCAGAGGGTGGGGTGGGAACCTGGTGGAGGGGGGAAGAAACGAGGAACCTGTGTAATAATATGAACAATAAAGATTGATTTAAAAAAAAAAATTCTTAGCCTTTTAATGTTTCATGCATTATTTGAATTCTCCAAAATAAACTTGCTTAGTCACAAAACTATTATTGAAAGTCTCTGCATACATGACGGTGGGAAAACCACCTGAACCTAAGCCACGAGGGCCCCATGAGACAGGACTCTGAGCCTCAGGGGGGGGCCGGGCCGGGGCTCAGACAGGACAGCATCTAGGGAAGGGGAGCCACCCCCAGAGGTGGTCAGGCCTGGCCTCTCTGTATTTGGTGCTTATTTCTCTAGTGACAAAAGCAAGGACAGTGCCCTGAATAATTCTGTTTTCACTGGAAGTTCACAACAGCCAGGAGAAAACGTGCCCCACTTCCTAGACCGTCTCCACTGCCCCAGCAGCTGCCCGGGCCCACAGGTCAGCAGAGACAACAGGGCTGTGTGTAGTGGCATGCACCAGTACGTGTGCCCGAGGGGGCTTCCTAGCAGCATGGCCCATCTGCGCGGACTCATCACAGAAGACCACCAGGTGTGAGAAATGAACGCCTGAGCTCCTGACAACTGTTGAGGGAAAGGATACATTCCAGGGCTCAGCAGTCACCCATTCGACGTCCCGGTAAAGCACCTGCTGAGCCAGGCTCTGGTGGTCAGGGCCCTGGAGGGATGGTGCTCTGGGCTGTTCACACGGAGTTGATCACCACTGCCCCGACCGCGTGGCTTGCATAGCTTGGGCCAGGGGTCGGGGAATAAGGGGGGCAGGACCACAATGCTCCTCCCAGGACTTCAGCTCTCAAGCAAGGCTGGTGCCACCTGGTCTATTTCTGAGTGGGCAGAACCGTTCATACACCGGCCCATCCAGGACGTGCTGGCAGGAGACCCCACTCCCCACCTGTGCAAGGACATGAGGTGTCGACTTATAGGCCAGGCAGAGTGACCAGGGCAGCATGAAGCCGCTCTCTCCTCTCTGCTCACACAACGTAACCTGTGGAGCCACTGGAGGAATCCTGTCCTAGAGTGAGTCCCAGATCCTCAGAGCCAGCTCCAGCCCCTCCGCCCAGGGAGCTCCATGGGATGGAGGCCTGATCCCACGCCAGTCCTGCGCACCCATCCCAATGAGCAAAACTAGGACTGGACCAAGGCCACTCCTGCTGATCCCGATGCCTCGTCAGGCCCGGGTGGGCAACGTCTTGTAGGGGTTCAGGATGCCCTGTGGATCCAGGAGAGCCTTGAGCTGCTGCATGAGCTGCAGGGCCTCAGGCGGCTTGCTGTAGCCAAGGACACTCTGCTTCTTGAAGCCGACACCGTGCTCTGCACTGACGCTGCCCCGCTGTCCCGCTGTCCACTCGTACACGTAGGGCTCCAGGTCACCCAGCAGCGATGGGCTGAAGGCCTCTGCTGTTACATTGAGGTGCAGGTTGCCATCCCCTGGAGGGACAGGAAACCATGGGTCAGGCTGGGCAGGGCCCCCTAGCCCTGACGTCTCCACTTCTTAAGCCCCTGCCAGAGCCCTTTCCCGCCCTGTCTGGTTCCAGCCCTTCAAGTCACCAATCACTGACCTGCAGTGACAGAAGCAGCCTCTTCAGGGGGCCCCAGCTCCCTTGGCTTTTGTTCACTTCTCTCCCCAGTTCTCCCCAACCTGCTCCTTCCTCCATCAGCTCAATATCTTCCATGGGCTCCCAACTGAGACCCCTGGAGTCTGATCACACTGATGGCTGTCACCAGACTTACATCTCCAACGACACCGGTATGATCCCATCCCCACCAGACACCTCCAGGAACACCATGGGTGCCTCCCCCACCTCCGGGATGCCTCCTCTGAGGCTGCCCAGCCAACGCCCACCACAAACAAAGTCCTGGATCCCACCCGCCTCCTCTCAGGTCCACTTGGCCCCTTGTTGCCCTCGATGAGACCCCTTGGCCCTGGCTTTCCAGAACTGTCCAAACACACGCTGACTCCGGCCCTCGGGACAGCTGGGCTCACCGCACACGTGTGCCCCCTCTCGGGGTCCCAAAGCAACGACAAGAGACATGAGATTAACCCAAGTCAATGCAACCCATGTGCTGGCTGGGGCTGTGAGCTGGGTGGAGGGTGCCTCGGGTGTCCCTGCACCCAGTGGGGTCATGAGAGCAGACAGTGGAGTTACCACTGATGGGGGGTGGGGGGCTGCAAGGGGCCTGGGGGGCAGGAATTGTGCTGGCCTTGAGAGACATGAGAGATAACACCCAGGAAGCACTGGATGTGACCAGCATGCCCTGGAGCCAGTGCAAACATACAGAGAAGAGGCCCCATGACCATAGTCAGCAGTCAGGAAAGTAGAAGGACTGAACAGACAGTGAGCCAGGACCAGTGAGGGTTGCTATCCTGAGGGGCAGGGAGCCTTGAAGGCAAGATGAAGGCACTCCCAAAGGCAGGAAAAAGCACAGCAAACACCCGGAGCAATGGAGGGCAGGCATGCAACATCTGACCCAGTGACCTTGAGCTTCTTATACCTCTCTCTCCATGTTTCAAATGTGGGGTGCATAGCAGGAACCCCCTCCAACCAAAAACGGTCCCCACTGACACACGCAGGGCAAAGGCAACTGAAAATGCCACCATGGGCTTTCTTTGCCCCGGGAACCCACCGCCACTAACACCTGGATATTCACAGCCATCAACCAGCGCAGAGTTTACAACCCAAGTTCACACTACCTGGTGGTCCACAGACACTGAGCTCAGAACATTCGGGAGGTTCAGGCTGGGTGGCCTAGGTCTGTACCCACCCCCTGCACAAACGAGCAAATCAAAACTCCAACCCTGGCCTCAACGTTTCCACAGGCAAAGGACTAAGACATATGAGCCCAGGCCACAAATTACATCCACACAGAACAAAGCCACCCAGGGCCAGGGCAGCAGAATCTGACCACAGAGACTCGCCATCCGGCCATTTCCAGAAACAGAATGTAAATGTTTCATATGTTTAAAGAAATAAAGAGGTTAAAAACATATAAAACACTGCCCGGCCTGTGTGGCTCCGCTGGTTGAGCATCATCTCAGGCACCAAGAAGCCAAGGTTTGATTACTGGTCAGGACACATGCCTGGGTGGTGGGCTCAAACCCCGAGTGTGGGTGTGTGGGAGGCGGCCAATTGATATTTCTCTCTCACTGATGTTTCTATCTTTCTATCCCTCTCCATTCCTTTCTGTCTAAAAAAAAAATCAGTAAAAACGCATTAGAAAAAATAGAGTAATGGCTGAAGCGCACGACTCAGTGAACAGGTTTAACAGGACACAGCACACAGCAAAGCGAGACTCGTGACCTGCAAGATGGCAAAATGCTCTGAATGTGGCAAGAACTGAGGCCCACATCACAGGAACCTGCCATCAGTGATGGCGGAGGAGATCTCGAGCACTGGGCTGCAGTTCCAGAAACAGAGCTGGGGAAACAGGATGAGGGAGAACAGCGTCTGAAGACACCAGGGCAGACCCGACAGGACACACGCTGTCACCCAGATGAACCAGAGGACACACAGTCATAAAAGGAACAAGAAAGGAAAAACAGACTCCTTTCCATGAGACACCTGCCCTGGCAGCTAAATTCCCAGTAAATTTCTCTCTTATGTTGCAGAGAGAAAAGAACTTGTCAAACCCAAATTGCTGAAATCCATCTCAAAACAAAATTAATAACTTTTCAGGCAAATAATATGTCCCTAGTAGGAAATTCTAAAAGATGAGACCCAGACAGAAGCTATGAAAGCAGAAGCAGGACTAGAGGTTTACCCAGGTCTGGACCAACACTGACGACACAAATACCAGCAACAGCATGGCCACGTGGGCTGAAACACAAGGCTGGACTGAGATCTACTGCAGAAACATGTACGAACAGGCGGGTGATAATCTGGCCTGCCTTTCACCTAAAGCAGGACATCCATGTAAAGGTGTCCCGTTGTCCCTCCCTCTACCAGAAAGGATGGAGACCATTGTCAGAAAAGCTAGGCCCTGATCAGCCTGAGATGCAGGAGAGGAATTCACGTAACAGCTGCTGGTCCGCTTCCCCAGGTAGTTATTGATCTTCCCATGGTTTGCTGCCTGAGAAGCTCCAAGTCCTCATCCTTCCTCTGTGACTTCTCCGATGAGATGCCCATGTCCTGAGCTCCTCTGAGCCTCTCATCGCTGAGCCCTGTGTGTGTGTGTGTGTGTGTGTGTGTGTGATGCACCAGTTGGTGAATTTGTTTATTTCTTGTACTCTGTGTCTTATGGGTCTTATTTCCAGGGCCCCAAAGTCTCTAGGAGGGTAGGGGGAGAAGTTGAGCCTTCCCTGCCCAACACAAACCAAACGCTTAAGTTTAAGGACAATGACCTGCCAGTGATGAAGAAGAAACCCGAGCTCCATGCTGTCTTCAAGACACCTATGTAAGTCACGGACAGAAAACAGCTGAAAGTCACAGGAGGAAAACCAGTACGTCAGGCAAATAGAGGGTAGCTAATGCTCCTGTAGAACATCAAACAAAGGAGACTCCATGGCAAATGAAACTCTGAAGATAAAAAGATTCATTTAGCAGAATGAAAGAACAGTTCTAATTTCCTATCTTCCAAACTGACAGCTCTAAAGAGAGACAGATTATCCTGTCACCCGGGGATTGATGCTTTTACAGCCAGCAGGATGTGGAGGATTAAATTCCACATGAGCACTTTTCTGTGGGTCTGGGAAAACAGGACTTCAGAGGGCAGCTCTCTCCAAGTAGTCATCACAGCTATGGAATCAGACCGCATGCTGGGCCCACTGGGCCGCTGACTGGTTTCAGTGTGACACAGGCCCAGTTCTCTGGCTCCAGTGCAATTAAAAGCAAGTCAACAATTTTTTAAATAACTAGAAAATTCCCATATGTTTGTGAATTTAAAAACACATTTCTGAAAAAAAGAAGAAGAAAAAAACACACATTTCTGCCTAACCCATGGGTCAAAGAAGAAATGGCAATGGAGATGAAAAAATATTTAGAACTAAAGATAATGAAAGTGAGAGAATTCAAGATGGTTGCACAGGTAAACACCTAGCCGCAGCCACACACAACAATTTCAATAAAATACAACTAAAATATAAAATGGACATTACCCACAACTACAGAAAAGTCGAATGACTGGAAATTCTACAATGAGAAGCAAGGAGAAAACCAGAAGGAAGAGAGGAGGAGCTGTAAAAGCCTAAGGTACGGAGACACGGGGCGCGCGCAGAGAGGAGGGGTGGCTGAGTGCCTGGCTGGCATTCCCTAGCGGGAAGAAGATAAAAGCTCCAACTGTGCTGAACCCTAGACCCGACAGCGCTGAACCCCAGAACTAGGCCAGACCCTGGGAACCCAGGCTCAAACAGAGGGAGCTGGGGCTGTGAGGCGGAATCCCAGGGGAGCGGCGAAGGGCAGAGCCTCCGGAGGCACACACATTGTGTGCAGAGGACGAACTGTTGACTCTGCTGCTAGATTGCCCTGGCGGGAAGGACACAAAAGCCCTGGTCTGCTCCGAACGCCACCTCCAACTGAACTGAACCCCAGTTCCGGACTCATTGGGGGAGAGCCTAGGCTGTTTGGTAGCAGGCGAAAATCGAGGGCACCTTTCTCTCAGAGGTGCTTGCAATGAGTATTGAAGGACCCTGGGGATTACTGAGACTCAGGAGCTGCATAGGGCGGGGCTGACGGAAGCCAAGGCTGTAGGCTCCACCCTGAAACTCCGCCCCATCAGGGAAGCTGCAAAAATGCCGAGACAAGAAAATAGATCACAAACAAAAGAAATGGAGGACAAAAAGCGACTGGATATAGAGTTCAAATCTACGCTTATAAGGTTTTTCAAGAATTTCCTAGAAAAGGTCGATAAGACCTATTAGGATATGAAAAGCGATCAACTAGAATTAATAAGGAATCAACAAGAAATAATAAGGGATCAACAAGAAATAAAGAATACATTGTCTGAAATAAAAAATATTATACAGAGTCCTAAAAACAGAATTTAAGATCGCAAGAATCAAGTCAAAGATTTGGAACATAAAGAGCCAGAAGACACTCCTCCGCAGAAGCAAGAAGGCAAGAGAATCCAGAAAATTGAAGATAGTGTAAGAAACCTCTGGGACAACTTCAAGCGAACCAACATCAGAATTATGGGAGTCCCAGAAGATGAGAGAGAGCAAGATATGGAAAACATACTGAAAGAAATAGTGACAGAAAACTTCCCCCACCTGGTGAAAGAATTAGACTTACAAGTCCAGGAAGCGCACAGAACTCCAAACAAAAGGAATCCAAAGAAGACCACAACAAGGCACATCATAATTAAAATTTCAAGAGCAAAAGACAAAGAGAGAATATTAAAAGCAGCAAGAGCAAAGCAGGTAGTTACCTATAAAGGAGCACCTATACGATTGTCAGCTGATTTCTCAACAGAAACCATGCAGGCCAGATGGGAATGGCAAGAAATATTCAAGGTGATGAATACTAAGAACCTACAGCCAAAAATAATCTACCCAGCAAAGCTATCACTCAGAATCGAAGGCCAGATAAAGAGCTTCACCAATAAAATAAAAAAAGCTAGCCGGGATAGGTTTGGCTCAGTGGATAGAGCGTCGGCCTGCGGACTGAAAGGTCCTGGGTTCGATTCCAGTTGAGGGCATGTGCCTTGGTTGCGGGCACATCCCCAGTAGCGGGCGTGCAAGAGACAGCTGATCGATGACTCTCTCATCGATGTTTCTAACTCTCTATCCCTCTCTCTTCCTCTCTGTGAAAAATCAATAAAATATATTTAAAAAATAAAAAAATAAAAAAATAAAAATAAAAAAAAAAGCTAAAGGAGTTCACACCACCAAACCAGAATTATATGAATTGCTGAAGGGGGTTCTTTTGGAAGAGAAAGTAAATAAAGATAAAAATTATGAACAACAAATACGTAACTATCAACAAGTGAATCTAAAAACCAAGGAAATTTTTTAAAAATCTGATGAACAATATTAACTGTTGAATATAATAGAATCAGAGGTATGGAAGGGGAGTGAACTGACGATTCTCGGGGAAAAGGGGAGATGGGGATGTAGGAAGAGACTGAACATAAACTGTGCACCTATGGATGAGGACAATGGGGAGTGGGGAAAGGGCAGAGGGTAGGGTGGGAACCTGGTGGAGGAGAGCAATGGAGGGGGGGGGGAAGAGGAATATTTGTAATAATATGAACAATAAAAATTTATCTTAAAAAATAAATTAAATTAAATTTTAAGAATAATAAAAAATAATAATAAAGATAATGAAAGTGCCATCAAATCTGTGAGACAGCCCTAACCAGTTGGCTCAGTGGATAGATCATCAGCCTGCAGACTAAAGGGTCCCAGGTTCAATTCTGTTCAAGGACACATGCTCATTTTTGCGGACTTGATTCCCAGTAGAGGATGTGCAGGAGGTAGATGATCAATGATTCTCTCATCATTTATGTTTCTATCTCTTTCCCTCTTCCTTCCTCTGAAATCAATTAAAAAAAAAAAAAAACCTGGCCGAAACCGGTTTGGCTCAGTGGATAGAGCATAGGCCTGCGGATTCAAGGGTCTCAGGTTCGATTCTGGTCAAGGGCATGTACCTTGGTTGCAGGCACATATATATATATATATATATATATATATATATATATATACAACAACAACTGTGGGACCTCCGCACAAATGCTGGGGCACCTAGCTGCTGAGGCGGAGCTGCCCTGGAGCCAGTGACCTGGAGTCACCTCCCGCCAGGCCTTCTGGGAGCCTAGGGTTGAGGGCAGGGCTGCAGAAGGGCAGGGCAGGGGCATTCCAGCAGCAGAGTCCCAGGAAACAGAGTCCTCCAAGCATCACATGCATGGACACTCCACACTGAAGTCCAAAGGAAGCCATGCTTTGCTTATGATGACACATGGACCCGGAGTCACTGTGGCTGAGTGACAGCTACTGCCTGGCTGAGTACTTCCCTGACCATGCTGATACCACACAAGGAAACATGAGAATATCATGAACACTGTTATGCCATATATCTGAAGTTCTAGAATAAATGGACAAATTCTTAGAAAGAAAATTTGTCAGGACCAGTTCAGAGGAAAAGGCAAGCTGGAGTAACCCGCAGACATTTAGGAAACTGGTCTGCAGTTGTTTTTAAAAATAAATAAAATAAAATAAAAAATATCTCATGTAGAATTAAATAAATGGGGTCAAGATACCGGAAGGACCATAGCCAAGCAAACCCATCCTAGTAATATGGCCCCATCAGTCAGGAAGGCTTAATGCCCTTTGATCCCTGACTATCACAGGAGAAGCACCAACAAACCAAACATTTGCTCCTGGTTTCACAGAGGGAAAGCCCTCAGTTCACTGTGACCACAACTCTGGAGAGGACTCACCCACTCTGGAGTCCAAGTTCCCAGGGGAAACAGGCTCCCTCAGGTTACTGCAGTGACCCTGTGCCCACCTCCCGCCCCCTCCCCAAACACTAGTTGCAAGATCCAAGCTTTGTCAGCCATCATTCCCCTGAAGGCTGTTTGAGGAACAGGATTATTCACTTTCCATGTAGCTGAAGTTACCCCTCCTTCCCGATGCTTCACACTGACTCAAGTCCCACAGCTGTCCTGTGCTGTCTCCTAACCAGAGTCACTGCTGCCCTCACTGGGGACCTCCAACCCACATGAGACAGTGGGATGCGGTATGGTCAGGGACCTCAGACCTGCTGACTCCGGGTTTATGGCCCATGTCCTACCGTGCACCAAGGAGTTCCCCATAGCCAGTGTCACTCTTCTCCCAAACACCTAAAAGACTCAGAAAAATGGTTAGGAATCTCTCAACCCCAGGTTTTCTCCATCACTGTTCAGAGCATGGACGTGGCGCTGAGCTAGCCCATAGTTAACACGGTCCACCTGCCCAGCTCTACTCACCCAGGTGGCCATAGCCCACCACGTGCTTGGCCTTTGAGCCAAGGCGAGCACGCATGTCGGTCACAAGGTCGTAGAGCCTGTCCACGGGCAAAGAAACGTCATACTTGTACACATAACCGTCCCGTCCCAGCGCCTCCGTGATCCTCTCCCGAAGGGCCCACAGCATCTGGGGGGACAGGAAGAAACAGGCAAAGTTCACACCTGACTGCAATGGGTGTCCACAGTGATGGGCATGACAACTGCAGCTGCTTTGGGGGGGACACTGCTCTGTGTGGCGGGCATGGGGCTTCCATATGCAACAATGTCCCAGATGCAGCCCCACGACAGCACTGAGTGCCAGCGACTGAGGCACTGAGCCCCCTTCTGAACGGGATGGGCAATGACACTATAGCATGTCCTGTAGGTCTGGGTGATAGGGTGGGCATGACTAGTTGGGGCTGCTTGAAGGCAAGGGGCTGGGAAGGCCCCCAAGGATGGGCCCTGGGCCGCCTGGGGACACATGGGGCAAGGGTGGGATAGGGGTGCTGGTGGCTGGAGCAGGGACAGTGGGGGGTGCAGGGCCTGGGGGTGGCTTCTGGGGGAGCTTGTTACAATAGTGCTGCCCTTCCACACAAACCCAGCTGTGGTTTACTTGTTCAGTTAACTGGTCACTGTGGGCATTAGAAGCCATCACGAGGGAGCAGACAGTGTGCTGTGCCACCACCGGGCCCTATTGTCCCACCTGGGTCCTGCCCCCACACACCCCACCATCTCAGGAAACATCACTGAGAAATTTCTACCAGGTAAGGACACTCCTTTTGTTTCTAACATAAGCACAGTACCATGAGCACCTCTAAAAATAAAGATTTCCCCAATTCTCTCATCGATTGTTATGGCCACACAGGTCATCCGTGCCCTGACTTTCAGCAGGTCCTACTGGCCTGGCCCTCACACACCCAGAACCCAGCACCGTCCCTGCAGAGATGCCACAGCCAGGGGGACCCCAGAGGGTATTTTTTGTTTGCCTCCCAGACACACTCTGACCAGGGCCGGGATCAATCCTCACTTGCTGCACAGCTGTCACACCCACACTTCTGCCTGCAGGCTCCGCTCACCTCCATTCACCTTCATTGCCAGTGCACGGCCACAAGACTGTTCTTCCTGCCCAACCTGTTCTGTCCCACCAGCTCAGGGATGTTCTATATAGGCCTCCTGGGGTGTCCCTTCCATCCCACCTTTGCTTACTGCCCCTACACCTAGCCATCCCCATCTTAATGCCCCCCAACTCCTGCACCATCTGAGATCAGGGCTGGGAGCCAGCAGTCTGCCAGGCTAGGACCAGCGTATTCCTGCCTCCCCACAATGAGATAGCAGCCAACCTCTGAGGCTCATGTGACCTACTCCCCCTGGAGCACCTGGGCCCACAGTGGTGTCTGTCCTGTCTTCTGCAGCAAGACCAATGGAGGCAGCTCTTATGGCCTGGGCCGGGGGACAGGGAGGGAGGGCACTTATAGGCAGAGCGGCAGCTAAGACTGCCCAGCCACTGCACTCAACAGGGCCCTGGGTCAGGTATTGCTATAACTCCTTATATATAATATCTAACGAACATAAAAGTAACTGTAGAGAAAAGGGTTTAATTATAAAGTAAAGAAATAGCCGAGACCGGTTTGGCTCAATGGATAGAGTGTTGGCTTGGGGACTGAAAGGTCCTGGGTTCGATTCCGGTCAAGGGCATGTACCTTGGTTGTGAGCATATCCCCAATGGGGTGTGTGCAAGAGGCAGCTGGTCGATGATAACTCTCTCTCTCATCGATGTTTCTAGCTCTCTCTCTCTCCCTTCCTCTCTGTACAAAATCAATAAAATATATTAAAAAAAAAAAAAAAAAAAAAGGAAAAAAAAGAAATAGAGTCAGTAACCAGCCACTAGGTGACAATGAGCGCTGGCCAGTGTTGGAGCATCAGCCTGAGGACCAGAGGGTCTCAGGTTTGATTCCCGGTCAAGGGCACATACCTGGGCTGCAGGTTTGATCCCCGGCCCTGGTCAGAGTGTGCGCGGGAAGCAACCAATTCACGTGTCTCTCTCACACAGCTCTCTCTCCTCTCTTTCTCCCTCTCCCCCCTCGCCCCTCCTTTCTACTCTCTCTTATAATCAATGGAAAATATATCCTCTGGTGAGGATTAACAGCAAAAAATAAAGAAAGCATTCCACTCTCCACTCACCCCAAATCTGTTCCCATTCCTGCCACTGTCCTGTGGATTTCCTGCCCCCTGCTGGTCACTCTCCACACTGCAGCTCAGGAGAACACAGGGTGGGGGGGACGACAAAGGCCCGGTGCTGTTGGGGATGGCTCCCCTGCCCTAGCCCCGCCCCCGTGGTGATGATGGCTCCCTTGCCCTAGCCCTCTCCCCCATGGTGATAATGGCTCCCCTATGTCAGGCCCCCCCACTTCCTTCCTTTGGCCTCAGAGGCCAAGTCACTCTTGGTGCCTAGTCATCCTTAGGGAAACATCTCACCCCCACAACTAACTGGCTCAGCATTGCACTAACCCTCCCACAGCGGTGCAGTTCTCTACCTGGACACCAAGAGTGCACTTCCAAAGAGGTTCTTCTAGCAGAGCTGGGACAGCCACCAGCCACACTCACAGTGGACACAGAGCCTTCCACACGCCCAGCTGAGCCGGGCTGGTAGAGGACGAGAGCCGCCAGCACACACACACCTTGATTTTCCTCTGATCGGTGGCCAGGGTCCCGTCAGTCACCAGGCCGGAGCCCAACGCATATTCCAGGAAGCTGCTCAGCTTCTCGTCATCGTGCTCCATTCTGGAGCCTGAGGTCTCGACCAAGACATAGAACGGACTTTCTGGAGAGGGCAGAAGGAAGATGGGCAGAGGCAGGGTGGTCAGGCTGCGTCAGGAAGCTCTGGGCCCAGGACCTGCAGAGCAGGGACCAGCAGGGCAGGAGCTCTGCTGAGGCTAAAATCCAGGCCGTTTAAAAGCAGGTCTTTCACTGTAACAAACCACACTCACTGGAAACACAGGAACAGCCCAGTGACACTGTGAAGCCCTCCTTGCAGGAGGCATTCTTACCAACTGAGGGAGATGCGCCCTGCCGAGAACCAATTCCAGCATGTAATAATTACAAGAGTTTTACCAAAAGGCTGGTGAAGCTTGGGAGGCTCAACAAGGGTGAGCCACATATGTAGTTTACCTGTTGGAAACAGCTCAACAGCACTTTCCCCAAACCTAAGGTGACCAGACGTCCGAGTTTTAACAATTTGTCCCACATCCCGAGTCGTTTTAAAAAAGTACTTTTTTAAAACGCTGAGGGATGCGGGACAAATTGTTAAAAATTGGGGCTGTCCTGCCAAAAGCGGGACGTCTGGTCACCTTACAACCTGAATAGGATAATAGTTGCTGCCAGACAGCTGAGGGCATTTTATTGCCTCCTGTTGGCCAAACAACTGAACAGCTGTAGGCTATTCCCAATCTAAAATATCCTTTGGGCCAAACCGGTTTGGCTCAGTGGATAGAGCGTCGACCTGTGCGCTGAAAGGTCCCGGGTTCGATTCCGGTCAAGGGCATGTACCTTGGTTGCAGGCACATCCCCAGTGGGTGGTGTGCAAGAGGCAGCTGATCGATGATTCTCTCTCATCAATGTTTCTAACTCTCTATCCCTCTCTCTTCCTCTCTGTAAAATATTAATAAAATATATTAAATAAATAAATTAATTAATAAATAAATAAATAAAATAAAATATCCTTTAGCCGAAACAGGTTTGGCTCAGTGGATAGAGTGTCGGCCTGCAGACTGAAAGGTCCCGGGTTCGATTCCGGTCAAGGGCATGTACCTTGGTTGCAGACGCATCCCCAATAGGGGGTGTGCAAGAGGCAGCTGGTCGATGATTCTCTCTCATCAATGTTTCTAACACTCTATCCCTCTCCCTTCCTCTCTGTACAAAATCAATAAAATATATTTTTAAAAAATCAATTATATATATATATATATATATATATATATATATATATATATATATCCTTTGATACCTTACCCTTTGAATTGTATATGTCCACCTTGCCTTAGGACAAATTGTGTTGAATAAAAACACGGGTCCTTGATCAAGGTAGGAGTCTTTAGCTCCTGCAGCTGAAGATCCTCTGACCCCCGATGCCTTTCAAAATTACCTTTCGTTGTCCGCGTTGGTGGTATAGTGGTGAGCATAGCTGCCTTTCAAAATTACCTTTCGTCTTTGGACTCCTCCTTAATCATCTACGGGCAGCCCTTTCTCCAGAATGCTGAACTCTGAAAGTCTGGGACAAGAACCCCAGCAGCACCTTTCACGCAGAGGCCCCCACCTTCCCAAAAGATGTTCATGTCTTATTTCTTTACCACTGGCCATTTCATTTGTTTCCTATTATACTTTATAATAAAAGAGCATCTTGTTCAAAATTGGAGTCTTCCCATATTAATAATTGCATGCACTGAATTGTGTTGTCGTCCCGCTACCCCCAAATTCCCATGGTGAAGCCTAACCCAAGCCCAATGTGACCATTTGGAGATTAGGCCTTTAAGAAAGTTAAATGAGCCGAGACCGGTTTGGCTCAATGGATAGAGCGTCGGCTTGGGGACTGAAGGATCTCGGGTTCGATTCCGGTCAAGGGCATGTACCTTGGTTGCAGGCATATCCCCAGTAGGGGGTGTGCAAGAGGCAGCTGATCGATGACTCTCTCTCATCGATGTTTCTAACTCTCTATCTCTCTCCCTGCCTCTCTGTACAAAATCATTAAAATATATATTAAAAAAAAAAAAAAAGTTAGCCGGGACCGGTTTGGCTCAGTGGATAGAGCGTCGGCCTGCGGACTGAAAGGTCCCGGGTTAGATTCCGGTCAAGGGCATGTGCCTTGGTTGCGGGCACGTCCCCAGTGCGGGGGGTGCAGGAGGCAGCTGGTTGATGTTTCTCTCTCATCGACGTTTCTAACTCTCTGTCCCTCTCAATTCCTCTCTGTGTAAAATCAATAAAAATATATTAAAAAAAAAAAAAAAGTTAAATGCGATCAGAGGGCAGGGCTCTGATCCTGCACAGCAGGTGCCCTCCCAAAAGGAGGCGGCGTCACCAGAGCTCTCTCTCTGGCCACCATGTGAAGACTCAGTGAGAAGGTGGCCACCTGCACACCAGGAAGTGGGCTCACCCAGAATCAACCCTAATGGAATTCAGCCTCCAGAACTATGGGTTTCTACTAGGGCAGCTAAGAAAATAACAATTTCTTTAGGATGGATCTCAGAAGTAAAATTACCAAGACCTCCAACTGAATTTTTTTTTTTAATTGATTTTGTACAGAGGGGAAGGGAGAGAGATAGAGAGTTAGAAACATCGATGAGAGAGAGTCATCGACCAGCTGCCTCTTGCACACCCCCTACTGGGGATATGCCTGCAACCAAGGTACATGCCCTTGACCGGAATCGAACCCGGGACCCTTCAGTCCCCAAGCCGGCGCTCTATCCATTGAGCCCAACCTGTCTCGGCTGAATATTTTTAGATTCATAATGCAAATTGCCTTCCAAAGCCCTGAGTCACATCCAGCACCTGTGACTTGCTCGCTGAGGTCGGAGGGTGAGCATGTCATGGAACAGTACATCTCTTGGTTCTGGAGAAGTGCACTTGGTTGTTTTGAAGATCCCAAAGCTATGCCCCAATGGACTGCATTCAGTGAATTAACCGAGGGCACATTTAAACAAAAGTAAATGAGAATGCTATGCTCATCAAATAGTGGTGACATCACAACTGCAGAGGGGCCAGTATCCTCCTTCCCGCCCCCTCTCTCGCACAGAATGGCCTGACAGCCTGAGCCACCCTGTGCAGACAGCCTAAAAGGAGCGGCAGGTGGGTGGGGTCAGTACCTTGCACTGGGCTGGTGAGGTGGAGGTGCTGCCTGACCAGCTGCATGCATTCAGCATCCATGAACTCGTACGCCGACAGGATCTCCCCCAGCATCCTCTTGCAAGTGCTGAAAGTCTGCAAAACCTCAGCAAAGCCTGGGCAACCTGCACAGGGCACAGCACCTCAGGAACACGCCAGCCCAGAGCCTCACCCAAGCCCACCCAGATCCCCTGTAAAGCAGCCTGACAACCCAACTACAAGCTGGTGTGCGAGGCAGCATCTCGGAGCTGCTGAAGCACTGCTGAGGGAAATGCCACCAGTCAGCCAACAAGTACATCACAGGTGGCGGAGATGATGAAGACAGGGAAGGCTCGCCAAGGTTGCCCGTAGTTTCCTCCCCACTCGCTCAAGACATATTCACAGAACACTGAGAGGTCACTGTGGTGCCAGGACAGGGGGCACTGACCCTCTAGCTCACATGTGTCAAACACAAGGCCCGCGGGCCAAATCCGTCCCGCCAGGCCTTGCAATGTGGCCCGCACCGCACTGTCATCACTGCACTCCGCTGCGTTTCCATCACAATGACAGTTTATGACTGTTCAGTAAACCATTCGGCCCGCGATTTAGGCTGGATTTTAGATTTTGGCCCCTTCTCTGATTGAGTTCGACACCCCTACTCTAGCTGGAAGGCAGAAGGGACCGGGTGGACTGCTGCAGGTGGGAAGGGCTGCGATGGCAGTGGGGAGGGGTCAGGGATCAGAGGTCTCAGAGATGTCGAGAAGAGTGTCCCAGAGAGAAGAGCCTGGGACTGCAGCGGCCCGCAGAAGCTGCACTGAGGGTGCGGCTGCATGGGGACACCAGCAAAAGGACACATCAGCGAACTGAACAAATCGGAAGAAACAGTTAGAATGCAACACAGGCAGTGAACGGGATGGAAAGGATGGAAGAGGGTGCCACATGTGTAATCACAGCTTGAGGAAAGGAAATGGGCAATACTGCAACTGACCGGACACTGGGCCAGGGAGACCTAGAGAAACATACTGAGAACCACAAAAGACCCAGGGTCCAGAGAGAGAGGGAGACAGACCTCTTCAGAGCAGCCGTGGAGGATGCCCAGAGTGGAGTATTTTCAGTGGAAGAAGGAAACAAGTGCCCACCTGAACCTGCATGCCTAGTGATTGCGTCTCTCCAGAATGAGTGTAAATTAAGACATTTTCAGACAAGCTGACAGGGAGAACTCATCGCCAGCGGGTGTTCCCCAAAGGATGCTCAAGGATGTGTTTACAAGATGAGCCCAGCAGGACGTCTGATAAAGGAATGAGGAGGAAGGAAAATGGCACATTTATAAAATAATGGTAATTATGATCTGAGAGATTAAGACAAATGGGATCAAGAATCCAGATAAGAGGGGACATTTAAAGTCAGGAGGGGAGCCGGGACTGGTTTGGCTCAATGGATAGAGCATCAGCTTGGGGACTGAAGGGTCCCGGGTTCGATTCCGGTCAAGGGCATGTACCTTGGTTGCGGGCATATCCCCGGTAGGGGGTGTGCAAGAGGCAGCTGATCGATGACTCTCTCTCATCGACGTTTCTAACTCTCTCTCTCTCCCTTCCTCTCTGTATAAAATCAATAAAAAATATATTTTTTAAAAAAAATAAAAAAAATAAAAGTCAGGAGGGGAAGAAACAGCTCATGTCCCCACAATCCTGACTGTGGCAGCGGGAAGACACTGATGCATGAACTGACCGCACTGGATGTTAGGAGCCTGCAAAAGCTTCTAGAAGACTGGTCCTCCTGACCGAGGACAGAAGGAGAGGGACCACACACCTACCCAATGGAATGAAGGCAAGAAAGGAGGTAGGAGCAGATGAAAACAGGGACTGAGGGAAGCAGGCGTAAGGCTGTGGCTCCAGTCCGCTGGAAAGGGAGGCAGGTGGAAACGTCCCGTGTGCGTTTCCTGAGGTGCTGGGAAGGGCATCTATCTGATCACCCCTCAGAATGAAGATCGGTGTCCTTGTCCTTATGCCCAATGACAGTGTTTCCCACACAGAATCTTGGGTGCATGCTCCATAAACGACAAGTGGGTGAGAGAGCTGAGGAGGCTCGACTTCGTTACAGAGTGAGGTTACTCTGCCCAGAACCTGCAAGCATGACTCCAGACCTGACTGAACACCAAGGCCAGGTCCTGGATCCCTTTGGAAAGAGCGAGAAGGCAGGAGAAATGGGGAGTCGTGTGAGGACCCTGTCCATCCGCTCTCTCAAACCATGCGGGCAGCAGGCACTCCACCTACCAAGGAAAGCCACGTTCACAGCCCTGGGCTTGGGTGGACACAAGATGGACACGGCAGTAATGACCCCCAGGGTGCCCTCTGACCCGATGAAGAGCTGCTTCAGGTCATAGCCTGTGTTGTCCTTCCGCAGGGAGGTGAGGCAGTTCAGGATGGTGCCATCAGCAAGCACCTGGCGAGGGAGAAGAGAAACAGGTGTCTAGGAAAGCAGGGGCCCCAGGGTGGGGACAATCATCTAAAGCACATGTGTCAAACACAAGGCCCGCGGGCCAAATCCGTCCCGCCAGGCCTTGCAATGTGGCCTGCACCGCGCTGTCATCACTGCACTCCGCTGCGTTTCCATCACAATGACAGTTTATGACTGTTCAGTAAACCATTCGCCCCGCGATTTAGGCTGGATTTTAGATTTTGGCCCCTTCTCTGATTGAGTTCGACACCCCTAATCTAAAGGAAGGACTTTTCTTCCCTGGCTGGAGTGAAATTCCCCCACCCACAACCAGAGGCTCAGGGCCTAGTTCTCAAAGGAAGCTGGCCTGAAGCAGAGACACCCCTGGAGATGGAACAGGGGCACACCTGTTGCTACAACAGGATTCACAGCTGGGGGGGTACAACAGGGTGGAGCAGGACACACCTCATAAATATGACAAAGTGAGTTACAATAAAAATAATGTGCAGCCTATGAACCAGAAGGTCACGATTCGATTCCCAGTCAGGGCACATGACCAGGTTGCAGGTTTGATCCCCAGTGTGGGGGGTGCAGGAAGCAGCTGATCAATGATTCTCTCTCATCGTTGATGTTTCTCTCTCCTTCTCCCTTCCTCTCTAAAATCAATAAAAATATATTTTTTAAAAAAAATAATAATAATGTGCAGCTGGCCAGAAAACAAAGCTACTGAAACTTTCTAAGTTAGCAGATGGAAGTCCAGCGGGTATTTATGTTCAGTCCACCCTTGGGTAACCGGACAGAAGGTTCCAAGCTTTAAAAAGCTATCCATTGGCTCAGTGGATAGAGTGTCGGCCTGCAGAATGAAAGTTCCCAGGTTCAATTCTGGTCAAGGGCATATACCCGGGTTGCTGGCTCGATCCCCAGAAGGTGGCGGGCTGGAGGTAGCCAGTCAATAATTCTCTCTCATCATTGATGTTTCTATCTCTCTCCCTTTCTCTCTGAAATCAATAAAAATATATATATTTTTTTAAATATATTTTATTGATTTTGTACAGAGAGGAAGAGAGAGAAAGAGAGCCAGAAACATCGATGAGAGAGAGTCATCGATCAGCTGCCTCCTGCACACCCCCCACTGGGGATATGCCCACAACCAAGGAACATGCCCTTGACTGGACTTGAACCCGGGTCCCTTCAGTCCCCAAGCCGAGGCTCTATCCACTGAGTCAAACCGGTTTCGGCAATAAAAATATATTAAAAAAAAAAAGAAAAAAAAAAGCTGAAACCGGTTTGGCTCAGTGGATAGAGCGTCAGAGTGCAGACTGAAAGGTCCCAGGTTCGATTCCGGTCAAGGGCATGTACATTGCTTGTGGGTCCATCCCGGTAGGGGGTGTGCAAAAGGCAGCTGGTCAACATTTCTCTCTCATCGATGTTTCTAGCTCTCTATCCCTCTCTCTTCCTCTCTGTAAAAAATCAATAAAATATTTAAAAACAAAACAAACAAACAAACAAAACCCATGAGGTGTCTAAGCAGGAGCCAGTGAGGGTTCAGGAAAAGGGACACCAATGCCCCTGGAGGGGCAGCCAGCGATGGCGTGAGTAAAGGCCAACAGAACCTTGCTCCTTCTCTGCACACAGCCCACCTAGAAGCTGACTGGTGGAACGTCACGGGTCGTGGGAACCTGCTGGAGGGAAGGGTGCCTAGAGCGCCTCACGCGGACCCAGAAGCCACGAACCCCGCAGCAGTACCTTGGGAAGCCAGGGCAGCGTCTCCCTGAGCAGGTGCTGGGGGAACCCACGGGCCCCGGCCTGGGCGGGATGATGGCAGCCCGATCACCTGCACCACCTGGGGCCTGAGGGCAGCCTGGGCACCACCCCAGGGTCCACACAGTTGTGGGCCTTCGCAAGAGGAATGAACGCTAACGCGAAAGCACAGGGAGTGGAGCTGCCAGGCCTTGTGAGCACACTGACAGCTGGGGAAAGGCTGGGAGAGCCCTGAAACTGGCACCTGGACACAGGGTGCCAGGCCGGGTGTCCCTGGGAGCTGGACTGCACTTGCACACACAGCAATGGCTCCGGCTCACCACTTCCAGGCCCAGGACAGTCCCACGCAGAGAACCATATCTCAGAAACCGCAGACCACCTGCGTTGGTTGCCAGGTTACCCCCGATGTGGCAGCTGCCCTTCGCTCCCAGATCCAGGGGCATGATGAAGTCCCGCTCCTCCACGTACCGGTTCAGCTCCTCCAAAATGCACCCAGCCTGGCAAACCAGGATCCCTGCAAAGCAAGCAGAGCTGCCGCGGTGCTCTCAGCACAGGGTCTCTCAGGCGGAGCCCGTGATGCAAAATCTCCCCACCCACAAGGAGCAGCCACCTCACGTTCCAACCCGGAACCCAGAAAAGGAGCTTGTGCCCATCCCTCCCCAGGAAGTTATCTCTGTGAGTACTGTGAAAAAGGGAAAAACTCATAAGGCAAAGATGAGAAGAAACACGCATGCTCACATATACACCTGCGCACATTCATATGCAAATATGTGCCCATTGTGCACATGCACTCTTGTGCCCGTGTACACATGCGTGCACATGTATTCACACACACATGCGTACATGTATGTATGCAGCCCTATGGAAGGGAGCAGAAAAGAGAGGGTTGTTATAAGGCAGTGGTTCTCAACTAGGGGTGATCTGCTCCCCAGGGCACATGTGACAGCACATTTTTGGTTGGAGGTACTGTAGGTGTCAAGTGGTGAAAGTCAGGGATATCCAGGTGCCCCCACCATAACCACAGAGAATGATCCAGCCCGCACATCCCACTCAAGAAGCCTACACCATGATGCTGCTGCATCCTGAGCAGGAAGCCCCTTCGTGCTATGTGGCCTCACAGTCCCAAAAGGTGGTCCTGGCCAGAAAATGTCTGAGTCCAAAGGGGCCACAGTGACAGTCTATCCCCTTCACCTCAAGCCCATGATATGTCACTAAGTGACCAACTAAATAACACCCCCGGTGAGGACATGTCCAGAAGATCCTTTCCTTCCAGGGCCCACGGCCCCTACCGCCCAAACCCAGCGGATGACAGGCAGCTGAGGACGGCACCAACAGGCAGCCAGGCTCACCAGATATGTCCTGAAAGCTGATGACCTGGTTCATGAGGGCAGTAGACAGGATGATCTCATCAAAGACAGGGACACTGCCCCCCACCAGGCCTGTGTTGCCCCCTTGGGTGTTCACGGCCAGGTTCTTCTCATGACAGTACCTGGGACAAGCACAGGAGGTGTATCAGGTCCCTCTTCCCCACACCCACACCACCATCCGGTGAGACATGCTCTGGACCAACATCTGCGAGCAGCAATGGCAATCCAATGGAAAAGGATTTGGAGCAACAGGAGTGCCCACGTGCATCAAGTAAACCCACTCTGTGAGGTGCCAGTCTCTAGCGATGAATTCTGAGAGCAGGTACACATGGACAATAATATATAATAATGTGAAACTCAAGACCACCTTGACGTGATCTGGCAACTTTGGGGAACTGTGAGGTAGGTCGAAAATGGAAGGATAATTTGCACCGAGAAATGGCCATGGATTTGCCAAATGGGATGGGAAAAAAAGATGACAATGTCTTAGATACAATGTGACAACATTTAAAACCACATGAAGTAAAAAAGATCTACATAAATCAAATGTCATCAAGTGTTAATTCTGGAAGTGAAATTAATGGTTACTTTTGCTTTTTTTTTTTTTTTGTTAATCCTCTTCCAAGGATATTTTTGCCATTGATTTTTAGAGAGCGTAGAAGGGAGGGAAGGAAGGGAAGAGAGGAAGAGAAAGAGAGGGGGGGAGCAAAAAACACTGATGTGAGAAACACATTGATTGGTTTTCTCCCACACGTGACCCAACCACCAAACACGGGGATTGAACCTGCAACCCAGGTACATGCCCTTGACCAGCAATCAGACCCTCAGAGCACAGGCCAACATTCTTAACCACTGAGCCACACTAACCATAGCTGCATTTTTTTGTCTTTTATTTTAAATCCTCACCTGAGGATATTGTTTCCACTGATTTCTAGAGAGAGTGGAGGGAAATAAGGGGAGAGAGACACATCAATTAGTTGCCTCCTGTACACACCTCTACTAACGCTGGGGAAACTGCAACCAAGATGCATGCTCTTGACCAGGAATTGAAGAAGCAATGATCTCACCACAGAAAAACTGGCCACGGATGCATTTTTTTTCTTTATGATTTCCTATGTTTTCCAATTTTCTTATAATTAACATAATAGTTTATTGATATAAAAAAATTTTAAAAAGCTATATTTTTTAAAAAAGGTCCATTTCCTTGGAGTCTGCAGCCACTCCCACTCCACACCCAAGGTTCTGAGGTTTGAGGCCTGGCTCTGCACAGGCTGCCAGCCTCCTGGGGTCTGTGTTTGTGTGTCCTCAGGAGGAATCTACTCGCGTACCACAGGGAGGGCTTCTTACCTGAGGATGTGAGACACCTCCTCCGATGTCCGGGGCTTCAGCAGCACCTTGCTGCAGCCTGAGACAGAAAAGGGCGTTAGACATGGGAAGGGGACCTCCCTGGAAAAGGAAGGTTCTTCAGAAGCACTTTCTCCTTCCTCCGTGAGATGACCCGCACAACCACGGTCACCCATAAACCTCAAGGACAAGAGCAGTCAGTCTGCTCACTGAGAGGAGGTGGAGAGGCCAGTAGAGGGTGCCCGAGTGCCGTAATGGTGAAGGTGGTCGGATAAGAGGGGAGGGACACCTGCCTGGCTTCTCCACTGCAAGTTACTAAGGATCTTGTGCGCAGATGCATGACACTATGTATCGATAGATACCCTATTGTTTCTCCAAGTTCACCCCAGGACTTTAGCATCAACTGATTTTCCTGCCTGAAGCAGTTGCCAAATGGGGATTTTCCAAATGGAAATGGGGATTTTCACCCATCCTGCATTGAAGAGCTGACCTTGTACGGTAAGGAGGGGCCTTCCTTCTCTCTCATGTATTTATTTAGTATTTAGCTATTCAATTATATCAGTGTGGACTCATGGGTTCATTTTTCTCTTACAAGTCAACCGAAAATCGGGGGCAAAAGACCAAAATTGCACAAAAATTACCTGCAGATCTTGACGGCAAAGTAAGTCTTTTCTTTGAAGTGGGGGATAGTCTTATACAGCGAATATATGCCTAAACCTATGTTTTAACTGTAAAATTAGGGGGTCGTCTTATACGCCGGAAAATACGGTATCCCCAGGTTACAACTCTTTGCTGCTATATTTGAGGTCCAGATGTGGCTGGTGGGAGACTCCTGAACTAGTCTGTCGGCATCCCTGACCACTGCCCCCTTCTGTACCTCTGTTTTGTCGAAAGAACTCTGACTAGCTGAGTGGAGGCCCCAGAGGCGGGAGGAGCACCAAGCAAGTCCCTCTTACATCATTAACTCTTCACGAAGCGCGAGATCAGGCCAGTGGGTGTGGCTCAGAGCTCGATCTTCGACCTATGAACCAGGAGGTCATAGTTTGAGTCTTTGTCAGCACAAGCCGAGGTTGTGGGCTCGATCCCCAGTGTGGGACATGCAGGGGGCAACCAATCAATGATCTTCTCTTTTCTCTTTCTTTCTCCCTCTCTCTCTCCCTCCCTCTCTCTCTCTCTCTCTCTCTCTCTCTCCTTTCCTCTCTTTACTAATGGAAATCAATAAAAATGTTTAAAAGAGAATTCCTAACTGGGAAGTCACACCCCATGCGATAACTTTAGTAAAAGGTTTACCTTCCTGTCAGAATGGCCAACATCAACAAATCAACAAACGACAAGTGTTGGCGAGGTTGCGGAGAAAAAGGAACCCTCGTGCACTGCTGGTGGGAATGCAGACTGGTGCAACCACTGTGGAGAACAGTGTGGAGTTTCCTCAAAAAACTGAAAATGGAACTCCCATTTGACCCAGTAATCCCACTTCTAGGAATATATCCCAAGAAACTAGAAATACCAATCAGAAAGGATATATGCACCCCTATGTTCATAGCAGCACAATCTACAATAGCCAGAATTTGGAAACAGCCTAGGTGCCCGTCAGCAGATGATTGGATCCAAAAACTATGGTACATCTGGAACACTATGCTGCCATAAAAAAGAAGGAATTCTCAGCATTTGTAGAAACTTGGATGGAATTGGAGAACAGCATGCTGAGTGAAATAAGCCAATCAATGAAAGAGAAATACCACATGGCCTCACTCATTTGTGGATGATAAAGAACATTATAAACTGATGAACCAAGAGATAGATATAGAGACAGTATATCAACAAGTAGACTGTCAAATTACAGCGGGGAGGGGAGGAAGATCTGGGGGAGATAATAGATCAACCGAAGGACTTTTATACATGCATATACCGTATTTTTCGGACCATAAGACGCACTTTTTTCCCCCCAGAAGTGGGGGGGAAAAGTCCCTGCGTCTTATGGTCCAAATATAGCCTACACATATACTTTTAAAAAAAGTTTTTTTACTTGCCCGGCTCTGTGTGGTCTCTGTGTGCTTGCCCAGCTCTAAAATGGTTCTAAATGCTGCTGTTTACTTTACAGGGTTGATTACATGTGTTTATGACTGTGATGTTGGGTTTTAATGCACATAAAATATTTTAGGACACTATTTGTTTCAGAATCTTTTTTTCTTCATTTCCCTTCTCTAAAAACTGGTGCGTCTTATGGTCCGGAGCGTCTTATGGTCCGAAAAATACGGTAAGTACAACCAATGGACACAAAACTCTGGGGAGGGAGGGGATGTGTGGGAGGGAGAAAGGGGGGCAAAAAAAAATCAATAAAATATATTATAAAAAAAAAAAAGTTTACCTTTGCCTTAAGCAAGCCCTGTCAATTGTTCTTGTGAGTCTACATCAACACATTTTTGAAGTAAACATAACCACCCTCAAGCGAGCACTAATCTTAACTATCCTGTAATTCAATCCCTCCTTTGCTTTCTCCCACCCTCATGTAATCTTCATTATGGTCCCTCCTTAATTTCAAATGCACAAAGGCTGAAAAACTGTTATTTTCTGGAGCATTTGAGATCTTGCTCCCAAGTTTATGTCATCATTTTGGCTTAAATAAGCTCTTATAAAAATTCTCTACAGGCCCTAGCTGGTTTGGCTCAGGGGATAGAGTGTTGACCTATGGACTGAAGGGTTCCAGGTTTGATTCCAGTGAAGGACACATTCCCAGGTTTCAGGTTTGATCCCCAATAGGGGGCATGCAGGAGGCAGCCAATCAATGATTCTCTCTCATCATTGATGTTTCTCTCTTTCTCTCCCCCCTCCCTTTCTCTCTGAAACCAATTTTTAAAAATAAAAATAAATTTCAGCCGAAACGGGTTTGGCTCAGTGTATGGAGCGTCGGCTTGGGGACTGAAGGGACCCGGGTTCGATTCCGGTCAAGAGCATGTACCTTGGTTGCGGGCATGTCCCCAGTGGGGGTTGTGCAAGAGGCAGCTGATCGATGACTCTCTCTCATTGATGTTTCTAACTCTCTATCTCTCTCCCTTCCTCTCTGTACAAAATCAATAAAATATATTAAAATAGCCGAAACCGGTTTGGCTCAGTGGATAGAGCATTGGCCTGCGGACCGAAAGGTCCCGGGTTCGATTCCGGTCAAGGGCATGTACCTTGGCTGCGAGCACATCCCCAGTAGGGGGTGTGCAAGAGGCAGCTGATCAATGATTCTCTCTCATCGATGTTTCTAACTCTCTATCCCTCTCTCTTCCTCTCTGAGAAAATTCAATAAAATATATTAAATATATATATATATATATATATATATTAAAGTAAATAAATTTTTAAAAGTTCTCTACAAGTTTGGCTGTTTCTTAGGCCCCATGTAATGAAAGAGGCAGAGACGGACTGATGTTGTCACAAGCCAAGGATGTCCCCTTGAAGTTGGGGGAGGAAGGAAGGCGCCTCCCTGGAGTCTCTGGAGGGAGTGCAGACCTGCAGACACCTGATCTCAGCCTTGTTGCCTCCAGAATTGGCAGGACCCATCTCATCTCTGTTCTCTTCAGCCCTGTCTGTGTTTCTTTGTCACAATGACTCCAGGAGCCAACACAGGAGCTGAGAGGGAGAAAGCAGTAAACACACAGACAGCCTCAGAGCAGCCAGGGGACTGTCTGGTCCTTTAATGAGAAGGTGTCATGCACTACTGTGGAGAGCAGAGTTAATAACTAATCCCAACTTGTGTCTGAACCTTATCATCTCAACACATATGAGCCTAGGCCAGTGGTCGGCAAACTCATTAGTCAACAGAGCTAAATATCAACAGTACAATGATTGAAGTTTCCTTTGAGAGCCAAATTTTTTAAACTTCAACCTCTTCTAACGCCACTTCTTCAAAATAGACTCGCCCAGGCCGTGGTATTTTGTGGAAGAGTCACACTCAAGGGGCCAAAAAGCCGCATGTGGCTCTCGAGCCACAGTTTGCCAACCACAGGTCTGGGACAACAGCCAAATCTGGACTGCCAAGGAAAGGGAGGCAACATACATGTTTAAGTTATAACGATGACCCAGTGCCGGGAACTGATCATTGTCTCACTAATAGAAAGACGTAAAAGGCTGGTCAACCCTGAAGCTCTGAAAGGACAGAACCAACCACTCCCTATCTAATTGAGACAATGGTAACTGAGGCAACTTCCCCATCTTATAATCATGTAAATCCTTACTGATATGATAATCTGATTATTTCTTGTCTAAGGGCTATGAGTGTGTCCCAAAACCTGCTTAAATGTAATGGGTGTATCCCATAGCCTCAATAAAAGGAATAGCAAGGCCAGAGCCTAGAGGCAATCCTCCCACTAGAGGTGGGTTCCTTGTGCCCCTCCTCCCATATCACCAAATTAAATTTCTTCTAGTCTCTCTTTAATTTGCATGCAGCCCTTCTCCAGAACCCGGACCCTAAACCGGAACCCTGAACCACGAGGGCATCTTCGTGGACTGTGCCAAATATTTTGATTTGGAATTCGAGGGCTAATCTCAGAGACTACAAGCTAATTCAACAAGTACAGATGAAGGGAGACCCCTCGACAAGAAGGATAAAAGTGAAACGAAGAGCCGAAACCGGTTTGGCTCAATGGATGGAGCGTTGGCTTGGGGACTGAAGGGACCCGGGTTCGATTCCGGTCAAGGGCATGTACATTGGTTGGGGGCACATCCCCGGTGGGGGGTGTGCAAGAGGCAGCTGGTCGGTGTTTCTCTCTCATCGACGTTTCTAGCTCTCTATCTCTCTCTCTTCCTCTCTGTTAAAAATCAATAAAATATATATTTAAAAAAAAAAAGTGAAACGAAGAACAGGTGACACTGGCTATTTGTCCTCTTGTGAATGAACCGTGCTGACAGCTAGTGTGTCTGGCCTGGTGACTGATTATTTCCAGGCCCTGCTGTCTCAGGTAGTTCAGCAGTCTTCCTTGCAAGATATACACTCCCCCACCCCCACCCCACTCCCAGACACTGAGGCCTCTGTGACTCCGAATGACCAGTAAACACTGCTCTGTGAATAGCCTGGACTGAGGAACAATTTGTTAACCCCTAATACTTGTGTGTATGTGTTCTGATGTGTTTGTCTTTTGGATTAAAACTGCAAGTAATAAAAGCTAAATGGACAGCATAGTCACCTGTGTTTGTTTTGGGAACCTAGAGGGCCAAGTGGCCTCGATCAAGCACCACCCCTGATATTATCTGGGGGTCAGGACATCGAGTGACTTATAGGAGAGACTATACTCACAGCCAGAGTGCTCATGACAACCACCAATAAACTGCTGTAAATTCTGTCCTCAGAGCATCTCACAGTCACCTCTTTCGGCAGCCTAAGAAAGGCGTGTGGGGTCCTTGCTCACCGCGCATGGTTCTCAGCCAGTCCACATTCGAAGCCGCCAGCTCCTCTGGGTCTGTGATGACCCTCCTGGGGACGATGCGCTCAAAGGCGGCCAGGTCTTCCTCAGACACCGTGGAGAAGGGCAGCCGCCGCACAGGGTAGCGCTCGCAGGTCAGCACCACCTCGGGGGCTTGGGAGGACGTGGAGGAGCTGCCTCTGCGGACCAGGGGGCTAATGCTTGCCACCCCACGAAGTCTGCCCCACGAGGGGGTTCTGGATGCCCCTGCCCATGTCCTCTGCTGCACGAAGGCTCCAGGAGTGCAGGCTGCCCGCCACTGGAAGAGCCACACAGGCCACCTGGAGGCCAGACGGGGCACCATAGCTCTTGCCCTACAAAGCAAGTGATGGGACCTGTAACCCTGGACTACTATGAGCCATGAAAAGGAAATAATTGCCCTAACTAGTTTGGCTCAGTGAATAGAGGATTGGCCTGCGGACCAAAGGGTCCCAGGTTGACTGTGGTCAAGGGCACATGCCCAGGGGAGGGCTCGATCGATCCCCAGTAAAGGGTGTGCAGGAGGCAGCCCATCAATGATTCTCTCTTATCATTGATGCTCCTCTCTCTCCCTTCCTCTCTAAACTCAATAACATATATATGGAAGTAATTGCCCAAGGAAGGGTGGAAGTTGGGAAAGTGAGGACAAGATGCAGGGAGAGGCAGCTGGAGGAGTGGAAGGGACAGGAGACAGGAGGCCAGCGGTGGCAGCTCTGGCCTTGTTCTTGCCCCGGCGTGGTCCCCCTTCACCTCCTGAGGACTCACAGCTCTCCATCCCCAGGTGGCTGATCTCTGCCTCCTTTCAGCCCTCTTCCTTCAGAACAAGACCAGGAATCGAGGCATTCAAAGAAAGGGGCAGATGGCACGAAACTGTACACTTAAAAATGGCTAAATGGTGAACTTTATGTTCTATGTATCAATATATGTTACCACAAGTTTAAAAAGTGAAGAATCAGCCGAGGCCGGTTAAACTCAGTGGATAGAGCGTCAGCCTGCGGACTGAAAGGTCCCAGGTTCGATTCCGGTCAAGGGCATGTACCTTGGTTGCGGGTACATGCCCAGTAGGGGGTGTGCAAGAGGCAGCTGATCGATGATTCTCTCTCAGCGATGTTTCTAACTCTCTATCCCTCTCCTCTGTAAAAAATCAGTAAAAAAAAAATTATATATATATATAATATATATATATATAATTTTTTTTTAAGTGAAGAATAATAAATAAATAAATAAATAAAGGATGGATTAGGTAGCTTCTCTGGCTGCCACGTGGTGGAGCCGATTCGCACACTGACCCCCTGGCGCTCAGACCACCTGGACGGCACCTGGGGCTGCGCTGGCGCCCGCGGCGTGACATGGGGAAATGAGCCGGCCTCTCGGTGCCCTGCGACGGCACCCGCGTGCCGCCCGCGCGGGGAGGACCAGCCCCGCCCCCTCGAGCCCTCGCGCTCGGAAGGACGCGGAGCGAGCTCAGGCTCTTCCCGCGAGAACCGCCAGGCGCGCGCAGCCTGCGTGGTCACGTGGTGGACGCAGCCGGCTCGGGGTCGAGCCCGCTCCCTGTCCTCGCTGTCCGCGACACGGTCGCCGCTCCGCCCCGCAGCCCGCGGCCCCACCACGCAGACCCCTGGCTCGGCCGCGCGCGCGCGCGCACTCACGTCCGCGTCCCCGTCCCGGCCGCAGCTGCCGTCGCCATCCTCCAGCAACCAGAGCAGTTGACAGAGCGGCAGGACTGAGCCTGCGCACTGCCGCCCTCCCGGCCCGCCCCGCCCCCTAAAGCCCCGCCTCCCCGCAGGTCCCGCCCCCAGGCCGAGGGCGGCCTCCGGCGACCGGGCGCCTGGTGCTGTCTACACCCCTCGCAGCCGGGACCGCCAGCCTCGCCCCGCGTTCCGCACCGCCCAGCAAAGGTCTCGGCACACTCCCGCCCCCTCCGGAGGCCGGCCCCACCGCAGTCCGCCCGACGGGCCCCACAGGGAAACTGCCCGCTCCCTCCTCCTACTGCGGGCCCTCAGGGGACTCTCCAGGAGCCCGAGGGCGTCAGCCTTCTCCAGCCCCTCCAGTCCCACCTGCCCCTGCCGGGCCGCCCGCAGCTCTGTGTGGCCGGCTGCATAGACTCTGCCCGCCCGCCGGCAGCTCGGAGACAGGGCAGGAGCCCCATGGACTCTGTCATCCCAGTAATGGCCTCACCCCTGCGGCACCTGTGCCAGTTCCCAGCCTCACTCCATTGCCTCAGACATCTCGCCCCAGACGTCTGAGTCCCAGTTCCATGGGCACCCCCTCCCTAAGCTGCTTCTCCACCAGCAGAAGCTAGGTAGCACCCACTCCCCAGGTGGCTGAATCTGGCCTAAAAGCACTTGCCCATCAGTTGTGAGGCCAGCCCCCCTCAGAGCAGAGTCCTAATCAGTCCCCTCCCTGACACTGTCAGATCCAGAAACTCCAGCTTCCTCCCTTGGCGCCCCCAGGATTAGGGGTGGTAGCTGTTTCCTGCAATTACTGTTCCCTAGGCCCTCCAGCACCCTGAATTAAACTTGCCTGCTTTTCTGACAATGCAGTCCTGGTGCCGAGTAGGGGTCTCTCCCACCCTCTGGCTCCCAGGGGTCCTACTGAGGCATCTCCAGTTCCGTGTGGTCAGTGATGCCCACAGGAGAGATACTCTTCTATGTCCCAACGATGAGGGTCTGTGGCCAGGCTGCAGATGGCAAGTGTTCATGTAATCCTAATTCCAGAGTTGCACTGATGGCTTTGCCAAGAATAGCCAGGTCCTTGCCAGACCACTGGCCACATGCCAAGAGTACAGACATGCTCTGGCAACAATGCTGCAGCTGGAGTCACCACCTGTCTCTGTAAACTGTACTCCCACAGGTAAGCTGGGGGTGTTGAGTGCATCCCACTGCACCTTCCTGCCAGGAATGTGCTTGCCTTTGCATCACTGTCTTGGCAGGGAGGGGACAGGACAACCCAGATACTTCTACCTGGCCCTTCAAAATTCAACATAAGCCGGGACCGGTTTGGCTCAGTGGATAGAGCGTCGGCCTGCGGACTGAAAGGTCCCGGGTTCGATTCCGGGCAAGGGCATGTACCTTGGTTGCGGGCACATCCCCGGTGGAGGGTGTGCAAGAGGCAGCTGGTCGATGATTCTCTCTCATCGATGTTTCTAACTCTCTATCCCTCTCTCTTCCTCTCTGTGAAAAATCAATAAAATATATTAACAAAAAAAAAAATTCAACATAAGATATAGTCACCACCTCTGGACACAATGCTGAAGTTTTATCATTTCCCAAAATGATGCATTCTCTACTGTTTGTTCAAAAAAATACTTTATTTATTAAACAATATATCCATAATCTATAACATGATCAAAAAATACAGATATACATCTTTACATTATTTAATAAAAAGATTTACAATATTATCTTTCCTTTACAAAGGGAACATAGGTAATAATTCCTTGAAAATAAAATGTAACATTCATGTTAAAGCTGCATCATCTTTTTGGATGAAATGTGGCTAAAAGTGAATACCACAAAACACATACGAAGGAAGAAACTTCATAGGACTGTCTCCTGAATGAGAACATTTTTTAGACTTCTCACTTGAAATGCCTCTCAGCACAGGTAATGACAACTAATCACTGTTCACTAAAAATGGAGGAAAACCTTAACTCAAGAATGCCCATGAGAAGTGTCCGAATCCTGTGACGGGGCAGGCCCTGGCTGTGGCATGTGGACAGTTATTGCTTGAAGCAGCCCCTTCCAAGGGCTGCCAGGGACAGGACAGGAGGCAAGTGCAGTGTGGCTCCCTGGAACAGCACTGACACAATGCTGGCCGGCATCCCCATGCACCTCACCACACACGGCTGTACATCCATACGGCTTCCAGGGCCCTGGCTAGTCCAGTCTCACATCCACCTGCCTAGGGCCCAGCCTGCACAGTGGGGACAGTCACTCAGGCCTCAGCCCAGCCAACAGCTCCGCTAGCACAGCCAGAGATGCAGAGCTCAGCTTAAAAAACTGTTAGTGTAGATGTGTCCTGTTGGAAAACAAGGTTTCTCAACTGCTAGCTGAAAATAGCACTGAGAATAAGAAAAATGGTTTTGCCTAACTCTGAACAAGATACCTCTTCCCTTACCAGTAAACCCCAGCCATGGAGGCCGCACCCTCACCTGCTGGGCCCAGCCCAGACCCTGCAACCTGAGGGGTGGGGTTGGCTCCACAGCTGTCCTCAGGATCAGAGATGGGACCTGGCAGGCACAGACTGGGTTCCAGCCTGAACCACCCCCAGGACGAGGGCAGCCAAGCTGTGGGGAGCACATCACTGTGGTGCTCCAACCATCAGGGCCAGAGCCAGCCAGGTGGCCTGACATTCTTTCTCAACCAGAAAGCCACCCTTTTGTCTTCCTGATTCCAAAGGTATTAATGGTCAGGAAGGGCGTTCAGGCATACTCCAAACATCCCAGAGGACCTTCCTATCATGCTCATGATTTCCATTTTTTCAAAGCTGTCTGCATATTATTTTGGTAGTATTATTGTCACTGGCAAAAGTAAACACTAGAAACAGGTAAGCACAGAAATTTACAAAAAGTCAACACATGGGATGCTGCACAGTGACAAACAGAATGACAACATTGAACTTTAAACAAAAGCTTAAGACAGAAGTTGGTCTCATTCTCAGGAAATGAGCATGGCCTCGGGAAAACAGGCCATCCACATTTCATCCAATTGAAACTAGCCAGCCATTAACCTGCATCCACAAACACACTGTGTTCCAGTGGCAAGTGAGTGTGTTTAAAGATGAAGTGCAAATATTAAATTCGCTTCCAAAGAATCATCACAAACTTAATGTACTTACCTATCCTCTCCACAAAAATTGATAAAAGAGGGGGGGAAAAAATGTCCACAACTGATCCCTCACAATCTTTAGACACCTGTAATGTAAAAGCTAAGTTGCTAAATACAAGCGGGCCTCGTGTTCCAGTGCAGCTGAGTTACAGGTGCGCCCCCAACTTCTTCCTGAGCAGCAAGAAGACATCGGCTCTGAGACAGTGCATCAGGCCTGGAAGCCAGCAGGGACAGGCTGTGGCAGCTGCTGACCCCTACCCTAACCACAGCACACAAGCTGAAGTGACCCCCGCCAGCCAGCAGTCATTTGGAAGCAAGTCCTGCTCCCTCGAGTGGCTCCAGAAAGGACAGCAGTCGGACACGTTCTGTGCAGGGTAAGACCCACTAAGGGCCACAGATCCCAGCTGGACTCCAGCTGTCCTCTGATATCTGCTCCCAGTTGCCAAATATTAACTCATTTGCATGGAGAGGCTGGTGTAGGATGCAGCTTCACCAGTTCCTCTGCCCTATGTCCTCTCCGTGGTGAAGCACGAGGCTTGGAGAGGATGTGGCACAGGAGGCCACTGGAAGGAAGCAGGTGGGCTGCTCCAGAGGACGCTCCGCACAGAGATTCTTCTGAAGCTGGGCATTTCACACCTCGATTCTCTCTCTTGGATCTTTTTTTCTGGCAAAAGAAACCCCAACTTGTCTGAATCCCGCGGGGTGGGTCTTGGAGAGTCCGGGGACACTCCCGGAGGCCCCACTCTGGGTACCATCACAAGTGGATCTCAACATACCGGACATATGCGATGTCCCCAGCTAGTACCAAAGAGACAGTTGAAAACCAGTTTGGTGAATGCTGCTTAAACAGAAAGTACACTCTAGTTTCCTAGCTTCATTCCAGAACTGCTATTGTGGCACAAATTCACAGATCACATCACATAATTGTAGTCCTCTGGGAGACAAAGTGCTGACCCAGTGTGTAACAGAAGCAGGTTCAAAATCAGCTCTTGGTAGACTAAATTCACTTCACAGACAGACTTCATGCAATTACAATAATTTCATCTTCACAGTAAAAACATCCGGAATTCCCAGAGAAATGGAACATCTGCCAGTCTGTTACGCTGTTTCTCATTGGTGCTGGTCATGGTCACCTACAGCCCATCTGCCAATACAGAACGGTTTACTGCGGACAGTGAAACCTCAGGGGAAAACCGGCAGTCCAGGTAAAAAGGCAGTGCACAGCCACGGAGAGCTCCTGGGAGGCGCAGCCCTTCCTGTGCAGCCGCGAGCTCCAAGCGCACCCGAGTCGGGAGGGCGCCTTCCGGCAACGCCCACCAGACCACGCACCCGTGCACTGAGCGTGGCCAGTGTGCACAGAGTGGTGTGAGCTCTCAGGGGAAGCCCAGGAAACTGCAGACCACACAAGGCTCACACCTCTAGCTGCAAAGTGATGGCAGTATCTGCTCCCAGATGGCACGTCCCACCGTACTCAGCACACCGCATGCACACGCCCACGGAGTCCTCGGGCTTGTGGGACTGCTGTGCTCAGTGCTGGGTCTGTACAAAAAGTCATGAGAACAAAGTCACTGTGGCAAGATCCCTCCTCTGTGCAAACAGGGTATCAGGTGGGTTCTTGTTGGTTTTAGGAAATATCCAGAATTACAACTGGCCACTGAGTTATTAAATATCATTCAAAATAAGGTAGCTTTAAGATGAAGGTAA